GGGGGGGGAGGGGCGGGGAGATGGCCACGCTCGTGCACAGGAGGGTGGGGGGAGATGGCCACAATCTGTTGTTGTCACTTTGCTTCACATTTTTCTGATTAAAAAAATGGTTACAGAACGGATTAACCTTATTTACATTGAACCTTATGGGGAAATTTAACATGGCTCACGACCAATTTGGGTCACGACCAGAGTCCTGGAACGGATTAAGTTCGTGAGCCAAGGTACCACTGCATCTGGAATTCACTACAAACACAGCAGTGCAATCTTTGTCTCAGCAGGAGGAATTCCCTTTCTCCAAAAGTCCTTTGCCATACCCTTTGGCCCTGCTTTGTTTTTCCTCTACCCTTTCCCTTCATTCACCACTGTTTGGTCAAAAGGCATAGGACGCCTAAGAAAAAACTGCGGGGCTAGGCTTACAGCTTTGCCTTGGGCTGGGCAGGCAGGGAAAAGAATAATGAAACGCAAATTGCAGATCGCCTGATAAAGTTGCCAGGTGCACTCCACCCTACGCTTGTCAAAACCAATTTGGGAAGGGCCAGCAAGGTGAGAGATGGTCACCCACGTTACTAATAATTCATCTCACCGAAAATGCAAGAGACACAAACGGCAGACGGAATCTTCTGAAGATACTCTACCCTTCTGATTTTGACTGACAGAGCAGGAAAAGCCGACACTCCCGGCTTTTTAAAATTACTCGTATCTGAGAAGGGGGCAAACTGGGCTCGTTCTTCACCTACAGCGCAAGCCGAGGAGGAAAGGAGCGCACTCTTTCCACCAGCGCTTCCGTGTTCGAAGGCGCTCCCCTCGCGACACAGTCTACTACTCGATAACGATCTGCCACTCAAGTTCCAAACCCCGCCCCTCAAGACAATCCTTATAAGCCACTGGCTGGCACAACTTGCCAATCAGCCCTTGTCCCGGGCACATCCTGCGGAGAGAGAGACGCGTTCCTGCCCCGCCGGCGTCTCTTTAACGACCTGTGTCTTCCTCTGAGACTCACTTTGACCGGCTTGGGCAAGATGGCGCCGCTCCGTGTCACGGTCACCGTTCGCGAAGGCGCAGCGGTCGCCAGAGGCCCCCTCTCGTTCTCCAGAGGCCTCGCCCGTGCCCAAGACCCGGCCGTTGCCCATAGGCGCCCAGCCATCTTCTCTGCGTTGATTCTCTCTCCGCCGGCGGCCGTTATAGCGACGCCGACGGGCGGTCAAGGCACGGGGGCGGTGCTTCTTCAAATACCGCGATACGGGAATGAAGACTGAAATCTTCGGCACTTTTGCGGATACAGCCGAGGAAGAGCTGCAGAGATGAGGAGCGGGAGAGCGTTTTCGTTGTCTGATGTGGTCATGTCCCATACAGTTTCCATAAAGAAGCCTTTTTCAAAAGTCGTCCAGAGACGGGAGTGAGAGCTACCCATAAAAAGAAAGGAAGGAACCCCTAGATTTGATGTAGCTGGGATTGAGCGAATCAAACAAAATCAAGATCTTTTTTTTTTTCTGATAGGGGAAAAAATGGGACTAATTTCGTGGGACCGCAGTACCCACATGCCAAAGGAGAGGGGCCTTTTCAGTGGTGCCCCCCAGTGGTTATGGAATAAGCTTCCCACAGAGGCCCCCCTGGCACCAACTTTACTATCTTTAGAGCACCAGGTAAAGACTGCCCTCTACTGCAGGGAATTCAATTCACCTACTAGAATCTGCTGGGTTTTTTTTAAACCAGGTCTTAAGATTCCCCCCCCCCCCATTTTTTAAAATCTGTTTTCGTTTTAAATTTTGTACTGCAAATGTTTTAATTTGTTTTAATATGGTGTATTTGATATTGTATTTAAATGTGCTGCTGCGAACTGCCCAGAAAGCTATTGCTGTAGGAAAGTATAGAAAATACATACATAAGGCCTGGGAGGCCCCTTCTGACTTGCTCTGTTTCTATGTTTCTATACAGTTTGTTGTCTGTGAGATAAGGGGGCTGAGTGGATAAGAGAGAGTGACTTACAGCAGCAGTGCAGTGAAGTTCTAAATATTTCAAGTTGGGGGTCAAGATGAAGTGTGTAGAACCCTGAAACAGTGCTAGCATATAGTGAACTGAGTCAAAAACACAAGGAATGTGCTTAGAAGTAAATTCCATTGAGATCAATGGCGCTTACTCCCAAAAGTTGGTATAAACTTACAACCTCAGTACTCTTTAGCAAGTAGGAACCCACAAAAAGGCAGAGACCAGTTTGCCCACCCACACACTGTCTGCAACTTACACACAGAAACTCCTAACACGCAGACAAGGAATTCATGGGCCCTATTGTCCACCTTACCAAGTCCTGCATGCAGTTGATTGCCACTGCCTGCTCCCCATCTAGCAACGGACAGTCAGAGCAGCAAGGGGGGAAGGTATGAACCATCTGCATGGGTGAGAAAATCCTCAGCTTATTAAGTTTACTGCATGTTCTTTTTAAAGCATTTCACAGTCTCCTTTCAAAGCAGCATCACACCCAAGGTGGAGCACAGCAATAGACCCTGGTTGGTTCATCACTGGAGCCCAACCCAGTATACACGGCAGAACGGGCAGCCTTCCAAGCACAGCACAGTGAGAGGTACCAGAGGAGCGTGTTTGTCGCAGAACACAAGCAGGCCTACTACAATTCCTGCCATGCTCATTCAGACCTACAGTTGCCGACTGCCACCTGGAGTTGGAGGGCTTGAGAAGAAAGGGTGCAGCAGCGCTCCTGCTCACTGCTTCTGCGTGGCAGGCCCTTCTGGTTGATGTACTGGCTTGAACATAGAGTGGTCAATGCACAGGAACCGATGCATGCAGAGCATCCTTCCCCTGTCACATTTTTATGGGAGAGGCCAAGGGCACAATTTTAGACAAAAAAAGACCCCACAACTTCCAGTGTTCCCTGACCAGCCACGTAGGACATTTTTTCCTGTTGAAGGTACATAGGATTGATCCCAAGGGGCCCATCTTTTACCCACCCTGTAGAGATCCCTTTCCAATTTTGTACCTTCATTAGGAGAAGAGGGTGGGTGTCACATATATCTATTGCAGGTAAAGTTATTTCACATGCAGTGCAAGGGAATATGGTTTTGGGAGTCACTTCCTTTAAATGGGAATTAGTCACATTCATAAAGCAGTCAATGGATGCCAGTCATTACAGCCAATGTTCAGCTTTATGAACAAGATGGCACCTTTCAAAACCCCATAGCTCAAGAGCCAAGGCATAGTCATCCAATGTGACTCCTGAAAACAACCCTTCAGTTAAGACCAGAAGCACTGTAAAACGGTGCTTCCAGTGCCCAGCCCATGTAGAGGATTCAGGAGAATACCGTGCTGGATGGTAATGAAAGCTAATGAGAGACTGAACAGAATTAATAGGGTTGCATTCCCTTTGTCCTTCTCCGGAATAAGGTAACAAAGGTCAATCTGGTTCCATAACCAGTTCAAAACTGGGACTAGAATGGGTCTAGAAAATCAGTATTCTTCAAGAGTTACTGTCCTGCCATGACCAACAACTATGCTAAAAAGGGAGATCTGCATCTGGGCTGCAGTTATTAAATGCCATTAGATCCAGAATGAGAGGCCATGGCAACTGCAACTGATCCCATGGAATCAGACGGATGGCACTGTTAGACATCTGAACTGGAGCTGCACTAATAATGGCTCCAAGTTTGCTGCAGACACACATGATTTTGTCCTTTGTGTGATGTAAAAAGGTCACAGCATATCCTCAGGGGGACAAGATCCCCAATTGTTGTGAAGAGTGTTAACAGCCCCTGCTGCCCCCCACCCCCGAACAGCTACTCAAGGATGCAAGAAGCACCAAAGTAAGCTGCCTTTGCTGCCCCCAGTGTGTGGCAGGCACAATTCTGTACACTAGGGTGCCTTCAGTCATCTTCACTGCACCTTTTGCACTTGGTGCTCTAGCTGACATTCAGCTTATTTCATGGATTGTAGCTCCCCATTACACCAAGGAGCAGAGCAGGCTGTGCAGTGCCAGAAAGGACACTCATGTGCAACTGAATCAATGGCCCTTCACGGCTCACCGTTTCACAGTGCGATTTCTCACAGAATGCCTGTGAGCTCTTTCCACTGGAAAACCCCCAAAAGCATTCATAAATTTATTGGATTCCATCAGTCTCCTAGTCACCTTGCCAGAAAGATCTGGTTGGTCACTGTGGGAAATGGGATGTGGGCCAGATTGGCCTTTTGTCTGATGCAGCAGGACTGCTCTTACAGCACGTTAGAAGTAAGTGCTTTAGCATGCAAAAAAGGCACTGTAGAGTAAGTGTCCAAGCAAAAGCTACCTTTGAAAAAATAAGTTTATTCAAGATTAAGTTTGAAGTACAAATAACTATGAAATAATACTGCACATTCTTGTTTTAGGAATAAAATACAACACATGCAAAGATCCTTTTAAAAATAATAACGGCATGCAATATACATGTAATACAACATTACCAGAATGTAAAACACCATGAAAATGTTAGCTTTCTTTTATTGTTTGAAACTAGTAAATATATGAGCTACCGATGACAATATTCCAGGTCAGCACTGCTGGAGGAAAGTTTGCCTTTGGGGTCAGATGTAGTATAATCACCTTTCAGATAATCACCACTTCTCACTTTTGTTGGAACTGCCATGCTATTTGTCATGGCAGCCTAATTTTGTCTTAATTAAAACAGAGTGGTTCTTTTCTTTCAGCTGGAAGAGTCATTTTATTAAAGTATTGCACTTGCCCATAGTCTAACAACAGACAAAATGCTTATTACCAGCACTGATTTGGTCTGAGCCATCAAGGAGTGGTAAACAATTGTTCTGTTGGCTGAACTATTAATTGTAGTCACTAATGTGCAAGACCATTGAAAAGCAAACGGGATCTCAATGATCAGAAATCAGTAACACTGCAATCTAATGTGTAACACTGCACACTATAGACTGTGCAGGCTTGCTATATGTAGTAGCTCTCAGATTCATAATCATGAAACTCATAACTGAGTGACTGTACTTAAAGTGGTTTAGAATTTTAAACTCTAACCATAGTCCAGCCCATGGGGGCCTTTCATTCTTCTCAGGTAACAATCATTTCCTAGCATTGTTACTATTGCACAAGAATTGGAGTGAAGCAAACACTGAACTGTAAACATTCAAGAGATGTGCTTTAATATCCAAAAGGGTCATTCTGAAATGTAGTTTTGAAGCACCAGTGTAATTTACCTGGGGGCTTCCAGATAAAGAGCCCATAGTACTATCAATCGAAAGGCACTGTGGGACTAATCCATCTTTTCTTCTTTAATGGATTTTTTTCTGGTAAGTAAAAGTGATGGGGATACATGAGAGGGCTACAAACTGATGATGCTGATGTATAAACTCCCTGTAAAATTCCATGAACAACACTGGAATTGCACAATATAAGCTGCATCTGGAAGCAGCCCTGTGCAGAGTTATGAACAGAAGTGAGAAAGAACAACGTGCTGAACAGAGAGAACACATGCAGCTTTAGGCCATCATTAGGAAACAACTGTATAGATGGTGATGCTGAGGATCTGAGGTTGCTTAGTATTACCTAATAGTATGGGAGAAATATGGGAGTTTTGAAATGCTGACTCAAATGTAGAAAAAAGCACAAGTACTGAGGTCAGCCAGAGTTAGACCTGGGACAGCTAGTGCCTTTTTATTTTATGAGGGCTAGTGCAATGTTGCAGCTAAGAAAGTGAACTGGAAAGTTCCTGGGTTCATTTTCCCTTTGGCTGAGAACTCACTAAGTGTCCTGGCAAGCTACTATTCTCTCACCTTTGCTCCATCTGCAGTGAGGGAATAGTGATACTAGTCTACCATTTCAGGTTGTTGTCAATAACGTCTACATAATGCATGTGATGCACATAGAATATTCCAGTTGGGCTACAGGTGCTGGATGTTCTAGTGAATAGGGCAAGATACCTAACTATCATGCTGTTTAACTCACAGTTTAACTCTCCAGCATAAGTCATAAAGTAACTGCAATATCAAGATTAAATACCGTTAAAGGCATAATCCTATGGGTTGTGTCCTCAGTGTTTATAAGCCCCCCACAAACTTAGAGCAGCTGAGGCAAGCTCCACCTCCACTCACCTCCTACTCTACTATTTTGCTAGATAGTCAGTTTTTGTCTGGAACACTTCGGGGAGGGGGCAGAGAGCAAGCTTGTATCCCTCCCTCTGCAATATCTCCATTTCCACTTCCTTCCTCTCCAAGGTTGAATTCCCAAAGTTGAACCCTGGAGAAGCAGCTGGCATGGAGTGCAGATTCCCAGGGCTGAGATCAGAGTTCAGTCTCCAACCTTGAACTAAGGAATCCAAAGTATCCTGTACTCCCCACCAGCTCCAGACAATGTCTCAGGGCTCCAGGATCAGTCCCTTAATAACACTGTTATGGAAGAAGGGAGAGAATGTTGATCAGAGAATCCTCTCATATATCCCAAAGCTACTATTCCAACATAGAGAACCAGAGCACTATTTTGAGAGCTTCTTTGTATGAGGCATTTATTATGCGCTCATTATTCTGCACTCACAGTAATTTGCAGGTGCTTTACACAATGTCATCATCTTCCAGGACTTTTCCTGTGCTCTCCAAGCAGTTCTGCAGCTTTTTTAGATTAAGAAAAGTGTAGCATTGTCTGGAAATGGTGGAATTTACTTTTGGTATTCTGCTATACCACAGTGCCACCTTGCATTTGTGTGATAGAACACATAGGAAGATGGAGAAAGAAAGAATGCATAAAAGAGCAGATCTTAATTCTATAAAGAGTCTGGAAACAAAGTGCCAAATTAAAAGCTTCATGTAGAGAAGCCCTGTGTCTCACACTGATATGTGAAAGTACACCATAGCCTCTTGCATACACCTTCTGCTTGAGTTACAGATAGTACATAGTTAGGTTTCAGGGATATTGTGGTCATTTTTATATCCCCTGGAATTATCAAGTTGTGGTAGTAAGAAACACAGAATCTGCAATTAATTATTCCAGAAAGCAGTATCAGTACTTTGGCAATTTTGTTAGCGGGGAGAACAATCAGCAAACAAGAGATCTGCGAAAACCTGCTTGATGTCCATTTCTCTGTTCTCCTCACCCTTGCACACCCTGGGTCCATGTCTTCCCCCAACACACACCTCTCCTTGTTGTGTTCACATGCTTGCTCTTTTCTGACTCTCCAGCCATTCCCTTCTCACCTCTGCAATCTCCTGACCGTACCAGTCATGTAACTTGGCGAAACAGGCTGTCTCTGGAGATACAGGACTTTCCTGTACAGCAACAACAGGGCCAGCAGCAAGTGCTGTGTTTACATTGCTGCTTGCAAACCTTCGACGAGGAGGTAAGGGCGGGGGTTTCAAATGCCCCCCATCAGTGTCCAAAGGAACAATTCCTGCAGGAGTGCCACCGCTGTCCCACGTGCAGTAGCCATTCTCCAAGATGACAGGGTGCTCCTGTACAGGTACCATCATGGGATTAGAAAGGTGTCTCTTCCGACCAGTGGAGGACTTCTTTGGCAATTTATAGCAGGCATCCAAGCTCTTCCGGGCCTCCTCTAGTTGCTTCTCTAGTTCCTTAACCACTAGCCTCATGTAATCAAAGCTGGCCCGTGAAAGTGCTTTCACCCAAGCTTCCATAGCAGCCTGGCAGTCGGCAACCAACATATAGGCCTTGCCACCGGTGCCATCAAAGCGGATGGCAAACGCAAACTCCTCGGCAGCCTCACAGAGCTCCACAGTGCAGCCCTCCAGCACAATCAGGCCCAGGGGGTCACGGCTCTCCCGCTCTTCAAAATAGAATAGCAAGTTACCCTTGAGGATGAACCAGTGGCGGTGGTAGGAGGTGGTGTGGTGGTGGTGGTGGTGGTGGTGACGCTCCACACGCTTGCGCAGAAAGCCGGCATGGTCTGTGGGAGAGTCACTTGTGGCATAATAAGCCACACTGCGCTCATTCAGCTTCATTGTTGTAATCCTACCCTGGGGGAGAGGAAGAGAGAAATCTTGAATGACCACTTGGAACACAGGCCCAAGACTGTTTCTGAAGGTCTACAAAATCAGCCCCATAAAATGCTGACAGTTTTGCTGGGCCAGGCCCTTACGTTCCTAAGTTCTGAGTCGTTTTTATAAGCATCTTATAATGCTAAATATTGATTAAACTATCCAGGAGCAGACTAGCTAGTTCTAGTGCTTAACAACACAAAAATAAAAGGAATGGATTTCCTCAAGGGATTAAAAAAATGTTTACATGATCTGTGTAAGCTACAAAAGACATTTCTTTATTCATGTGCACATGAAGTGCTGGTTTCAGTGTAATGTTCTGTGTTTGTGGGTCTAAAAAGTCATCCAGTGGGCACTTCTATGTGGAAATGATAAGCAGGGGCGTTAGTCAGCCAAGTAACTGCCGGTGCAGCAATCATTCTAACAAACAGAGAATCCTTCTCTCAGATCCATTTGGGGAAATGCACAGTCCCCACATCATTGCTTTAAAATGGGCAGGCAACTAGTGGTAGGACAGTATGAGGGTCCCTTCTGCAAAGCAGCTTGTAATGTAACAAGCAAGCTTGCATGCTGTTTTTGCACCTCATTAAGCATCACTGATGTTGCCACAAGTGGCCCAAATAGTGTTTTCCTCCAAGTATTACCATGTACTTTTTAATACCTCCCTGCTCTGGTGTGATGGAAACAGACTCCATGGAAGATTTTTATTCTTAGCAGCACCTGACTGTAGCTTTTTCTTTGCTCACTTAGTGAAACTGCTCTGTCTTCTCACCTGCCCCTATTCATCATTGAGAAAAGTAAACTCCAGTGTAGCCCAGTCCCTGTTGGTGAATCTGTTCTTGTTGGCACAGGAATAGTGCATGAAGCAAAGAAAGGATCAACACTGATGTTGTTTAGGCTGTAATTCTTTGACAGTTTCTAGTCACAAGGATTTGCTAAGCATCTTTTCTCCTGGCTAGTGATGTCAGGCAGTGCAAAAATGCTGAATATCAGCTGAAACAGATAACAAACATTTCAATTTTAAAACATGGACACACACATATGACCCAGAAACAGAACAGGACAGAAGCCATGCACTAAATACAATCCTTCATAGTTTCTCACTCATTGAATAGGGGTGCAGAATCTCAGTGCTATATCCAGCCTTCCAGAATTTCTGCAACAGCTCCACTCTTGGGTGGTGAACATCCTCTTCAGTTGCAAGCAGTTTCATTGGTATTACTATCCAAGTCACTGTTTCGATGACTTGTGCAGTTGGCCTGCTCTTGGCTACATGTTCATTTTCAACTTCATAAACACACTGCTGCTTCAGGCTTAGAGCTGCACTACTCCCGTTAGACAATCTTCAAGAACAAGGGATTAAGAGTCAAAGAAAGCTATTTTGCTCCTGGAGGCTTATCTACCAATATGTTGTCCATCCCTGCTTTCTGAGAGTGTGTTTAGGTATTTTGGCTCAAATCTTTATATTTCATCCAAGCCCAAGCCACTTTGTGCAAACCCATCCTGATGATTCAGTGGCAAAGGCAGTGACTGGCGCCCTTGTTTGGTTGGTGCCTGGGTTGTGTCTGCTTCCTCACACCTGACCATTCAGTGGGGGTGAAATCCCATCCAGAGTAGGCCTAAAGCTTTTCTCTCAGACTCAGAAACAACTTGCCCATGAGGCCTCCATCTTTCCAGGATTCAGATTCAGTTTATTGATACAGTCCATCACTAAGTCCAGCCACTGATCCAGGATTTGCATGCAGACAGTTGTAGTTTCAATCCCTGGCATCTTCAATAGGACTAGGAAAGACCCCCACATTAAACCCTGAATCAAGTGCCGGAAGTAAGATCGAGTGACAGGGTTTGCCTCTGTACAATCTATAACTGTCCATCCAAGGAGGAAGAAGGCATTCGCCTCGACTAAGATCTTCCCTTCCATGTTATCTGGAGGTTCTTCTGCACGTTGGCAGTACAATGGAAGCCAACTGGAATTTGGAGAGGTTTGTTATCATGCACAATCCCATGAAGCAGGCGTGGTAGAACATGGCGTTTGATCAATGGACCACTGAACTGAATCCTTAGAGCTAAATGCTCCCCATGAAGATCCTTTTAAAGGCCCAGAGCTCAGACTGAGGGCATGTGGGGCAGCGAAATGGATAATTTTGTTAAGGCAGTTTGTGGGAGACGATTTTGTGTTCAAAAGCAGGCTTGCTCAAAAAAAGGAGGTGAGGAACACACGTATCTTACCTTGCTCAACTTCAGGAAACTAATCTCTTGGATTGTCGCTCAGTTCTGCCTTAGGCAGTTCGCCCTGCCTGCTTTTCCATCTTGTTTTAAGAGGTAGTTTTGTCCTCCCTCTTTCTCTGCTGAACTCCGAGTATTATTGGTGTGGGTTTTCGTAGTGCAAAACCCGGAACTCAGGATCATCGCTGGAGTACTGGGATCCTCCAGAAGTAGCTCTTTAGAAGTCCAGGTTTTCCAGCAGCCTCTCATCCCGGAGAGGAGGTATCACGCTCTTGTATTATCTGATCCCTCCCCCACCCGCCACACACTGCTTTCTCTCGAGCTCCTAAAAGCCACGTATGGAAGAATCCTACTGTGTGTCCGCGCGGAAGAACTGATTTACTTTTGGTACTCTTTATGGCTTCTTGGTTGTTTCCCAGGCTTTCTTAACAGTGTCATCTTTCATTTCACACTGTGTACGAGGTTTAATACTTTACATCCAACTCCTCCCTTCCCCGTGTCTGCATTCTCCTCCGTTTCCTCCTCCAGGATTTCTTGTCCCAGAATCCTATTTTTATTGGGGGTGGGGTGTCTCTCGTGTGTGGAGGGTGTTTGTCACTTTCCATGGGAATCCCCCGCTCAACTCAAGATCAAGGCTGTCTGGATTACAACTTGGTGCAAAAGGTCAGGCTGAACAAAATCTCTAGAAAATACAATTCTTCCAAGCTATTTTCTGTGCTACGTCATAACAATTCTTGTTATATTAGGATCGTGGAGAATAAGGAGCAAGTAAAAGAAAATTGGTAGGAGCTGCTGATGGTGCAGTGCCACAGTTCTGTTGCGCGAAAACGTAAACAAAGACCTTGCAAAACCAGTCCTTTTCCTTAAAGCTTCCTAGTTACTTAAACTTGCAGCCACAAGAGGGCACCACATCGCGATAAACGCTGAAAGGAAGCAAGGGCACGTCCCATGCATCTGTGGTTGCTGTGCGCCGTCAAGTCCTCTCCAACTCACGGCGACCATTCTTGACGATGGCCCAAGAAGGCAATCTTGCGATTCTGGTGGATAGCGGGATGAAAGTGTCAACCCAGTGTGTGACTGCAGGGAAAATAGGCAAAGTCCATGTTAGGCCTAATTAAGTTAGGACGTATCATACTCTCCTTAAAGTGGGTGGGGAGCAAGGCAGCCATTCTGAGCAGAACGCTGATGTGTCTGCAACTTTTTACATGGCTGAAATCAGCTGCTGGATCCCAGTTACTTATTCAGATGCAGAGAAGTAGAAGCAGCCTGAATACACTCCTAAACTCCCCAAAGCAAGCCGTAAGCCACGTCAATTCATCCACCAGGAGAGCCTCCTCGAGGAGCAGCAGCAGAGCCAGCTTTCGCAGGGATGCAGGACTCAGGAGCTTTTCTTAGCAGGGACACTGACCCCATCGGTCGCCTCCACGCCCTCACGCTAACTGAGCAACAACGGCAGGTTCACTCGATCTTGCGGGAGTGGGGACATGCCAGTGATGCGCTGCACAATTTGGCTACAGTATGCTGCTTCCAGTGCCATCCAAACCCAAAGAGGCGCACACAAGGAGTGGCTTAAAAACCACCACCGGGGCTTCTTCCCATTCTAGCCCCTCATCATGCTACCGATGTTCCTTACTGTTATGCAAAATAGCTTGGGGTGACCTGGTCTGGAATGGGCAACTTAGACTCACTCGCTTTACAAAAGCCCTGCTTCCCATGGAGATGAGAACTGCGAGCACCTGAAAGGATAGCCGTGATAAGCATCTACCCTTCACAATTCACTTCTGCAAGACTGTCTAGTTGTCCGAGCAATTTGTCCCAGCCAAAACTTTATTTTCGAATAAGGCACTCTCCTAATGCCACTTACCAACCGTATTCTTCCCTGTACTCTTTCGCTCACTGTAAACTGCCTGCCTCCACCCCCCCCCCAAAAAAAAAGCTCTGGAATGTACCTCTTGCTAAGGCACCTGGAAGGGGAAAGTATCCTGCTCATGGGGACCTGGGTTGTTCATCGCTATGTGTCATCTGGCTCCTGGCTACCCTCTATGAAGGAAAGCCCTCCAAAATGCCCTGTCCATGACAGCTCCATTCAGTTCTTCCAGTTTCGAGGCTTTGGCTCCGTTTATAGATTCAATGCAATTCAATAGCAAACACTCTTTTCCAACAACCCAAGAGACGACTCTGCACATGGACATCACCAGACGGTCAACGCAGAAAGCAGATTGACTATGTGCTCTGCAGCCAAGATGGAGAAGCTCTATACAGTCAGTAAAAACGAGACCGGGAGCTGACTGTGGCTCAGATCATGAGCTTCTGGTTGCAAAATTTAGGCTTAAGTTGAAGAAAGTAGGGAAAAGCACTAGACCGCTCAGGTATGACCTAAATCATATCCCTGATGAATATACAGTAGAGGTGACAAATAGATTTAAGCAATTAGATCTGATAAACAGAGTGCCTGAAGAACTTTGGATGGAGGTTCGCAACATTGTACAAGTGGTAGCAACTAAAACCATCCCAAAGAAAAAGAAATGCAAGAAAGCAAAATAGCTGTCTGAGGAAGCTTTACAAATAGCTGAGGAAAGAAGGGAAGCGAAAGGCAAGGGAGAAAGAGAAAGATACACCCAATTGAATGCAGAATTCCAGAGAAAAGCTAGAAGAGATAAGAATGCCTTCTTAAATGAACAGTGCAAAGAAATAGAAGAAAACAATAGAATTGGGAGGACCAGAGATCTCTTCAAGAAAATTGGAGATATGAAGGGAACATTTCATGCAAAGATGGACATGATAAAGGACCAAAATGGCAGGGACCTAACAGAGGCAGAAGAGATTAAGAAGAGGTGGCAAGATGACACAGAAGAACTATACAAGAAAGAGCTTAACGTCCCTGATAACCACGATGGGGTGGTCACTGACCTTGAGCCAGACATCCTGGAATGTGAAGTCAAATGGGTCTTAGGAAGTCTGAGCAACAACAAAGCTAGTGGAGGTGACAGTATTCCAGCTGAGCTATTCAAAATCCCAAAAGACAATGCAATAAAGTGCTTCACTCAATATGCCAGCAAATTTGGAAAACTCAGCAGTGGCCACAGGATTGGAAAAGTTTACATTCCGATCCCAAAGAAGGGCAATGCCAAAGAATATTCAAACTACCGCACCCTTGCACTCATTTCACATGCTAGCAAAGTGATGCTGAAAATCCTACAAGCTAGGCTCCAGCAGTATGTGGACCGAGAACTACCAGAAGTACAGAAAAGATTTCGAAGAGGGAGAGGAATTAGAGATCAAATTGCCAACATATGCTGGATCATGGAGAAAGCTAGGGAGTTCCAGAAAAACATCTACTTCTGCTTCATTGACTATGCTAAAGCCTTTGATTGTGTGGATCACAACAAATTGTGGCAAGTTCTTCAAGAGATGGGAGTACCAGGCCATCTTATTTGTCTCTTGAGAAACCTATATGCGGGTCAAGAAGCAACAGTGAGAACTGGGCACGGAACCACTGATTGGTTCAAAATTGAGAAAGGAGTTCGGCAAGGCTGTATACTGTCGCCCTGTCTATTTAACTTATATGCAGAGCACATCATGAGAAAGGCGGGGCTAGATGAATCACCAGTTGGAATTAAGATTGCTGGGAGAAATATTAACAACCTCAGATATGCAGATGATACCACTCTAATGACAGAAAGTGAAGAGGAACTAAAGAGCCTCTTGATGCGGGTGAAGAAATTCAACATTAAAAAACCTAAGATCACCAGTCCTCTCACTTCCTGGCAAATAGATGGGGAAGAAATGGAGGTAGTGACAGATTTTATTTTCCTGGGCTCCAAGATCACTGCAGATGGGGACTGCAACCAAGAAATTAAAAGATGCTTGCTCCTGGGGAGGAAAGCTGTGGCAAATCTAGACAGCATAGTAAAAAGCAGAGACATCACCCTGCCAACAAAATGCGTATAGTCAAGGCTGTGTTTTTCCCAGTTGCAATGCATGGCTGTGAAAGCTGGACCATAAGGAAGGCTGAGCACCAAAGGATTGAGGCCTTTGAATTGTGGAGGAGACTCCTTCGAGTCCCTTGGACTGCAAGGCAATTAATCCAGTCAGTCCTAGAGGAGATCAACCTTGACTGCTCTTTAGAAGGCCAGACAGTGAAGATGAAACTCAAATACTTTGGCAGCCTAATGAGAAGGAAGGACTCCCTGAAGAAGAGCCTAATTCTGGGAACAATAGATGGCAAAAGGAGAAGGGGACAGCAGAGGATGAGGTGGCTAGATGGAGTCACTGAAGCAGTTGGTGTGAGCTTGGGTGGACTCCAGGGGATGGTGGAGGACAGGAAGGCCTGGAGGAATGTTTTCCATGGGGTCGTGATGAGTCGGACACGACTTCGCAACTAACAGCAACAAATAGAGTCAATGCATCTCGTTATTTGGTCTTCTCTTTTTAAAAATTACTTTGCAACGCCTAAGTGTACGAACTTCAACTCTTTTCAGGTTGCTTTGTTTGTGCCTCTGAGCTAAGTAAGACACACACATTTCCTCCGGTTCTACAGTGCATGCTTTAATGCTATATGTCTATACAGCTGAATGTAGAATCAGACTATTCCTTGAGGTCTTCGATACTCCTCTTTTGCTTTCAACTAGCCACCGGCGGTCTTTGCTGGCAGCGTGCCAAGTACCAAGATCAGCTGATGTTCAAGCTGCTCATGTGATCTCAGTGGAAACACGTGATTAGCAGCCTCTCCGGAAGCGAAGCGGCGCAGTCTGGGGGGCGTCAGTGGTTAGTGGAGGTGGATTTCTCACGTGGTAAGTGATCCGAGTGTGGCTTGCCTTGCTGCCCGTGTTTGTTGGTGCTTCCGCGGATGCTGCTTTCAAGCTGGTGTACAGAGTGGTTTCCGATGAGTCGTTTCTATTCCTCACGATTGCAGTTTCCCGCAACACAAATAGGCGAATAAAGAATGTATCTGTTGCTTATCGGGAGGATGATTTCAGTCTTTTTCACCGCGTCTGCTGTGCACTAACTTTGGCAAACAACCATTTACTGTAGAATCGGAAGATTGATTAGATCGTATAGGAACTGGTAAAATTATCGTAATGTTCATTATCCACAATTATTTCCACATCCTCTTAATCCAGTATAACTCGTGCTTGGAAGTAGGCGAATATAGATTAGCTTCTTCGTGTGCACTGAGGCAGTTGCTTTGTACCAAGGAAGAGATAAAATGTAACTATGAAAGGGGGAAGTGCCATTCATTTTAAAACGGAATTTATTTGGTGGTTGTTTCCTTGAACTTGGATTGTGCTTTGCCTTCCTCAGAACCGGTGTGATTCCTAAGGTCATTTCCTGCCTGCCTGCACAATCCATGTCCAAATGATTACAACCTACACACTGGTCTCATGCACCTTCCAGGTCTGTTGGCCATGGTGTGACTAAGGGCTACTTTACAGGGTGCTTTGACTTTACATGACTCATACTTAGTGTGGTTGGTAAGGCAGGGAACCTAATGGTCAGCTACCAACAGCATTGTGGCTGCTTGCATGCAGTGCTTGATGAAGGAGTCTTTATTTCTTCAAGCTCGAGCAATCCATGCATCTTCTAATGGAGCACCAGCACCTGTTCTGACTTCTGCCGGTGAGGGAGCACTTGGCAATAGCTCAGAAAACACTATGCCTAATTTGGGCCAGTTCAGGTGGAGATGACAAGAACATGGACTCACCTTCCTCTGAAAGCATCAGAACAGTGTGAGATTATGTTGTGGAGACCTCAGTTTGCTGGAGTAGTTTGGTTGCAAACTAAGCTTGGGTGCAAGTACTACTGAACTCATCAGGGGACTTCTGTCTGAGTAAGCATTTATAAGAGTGCACTGCCATTAGGCTTCCGCATCATGAAGATAGAGCACTGCATGAAACTGCAACACGTAAGTAGGAAAGTTTCAGTTCCTTGTGAAAGGGGAATATTTTCCCCTCAAAAAATGAGCTGCTCCTCATGCATATGTATGAATGCTGGCTTGCCAGCAAATGCATATGCAATACACAGGAATTTTGTATTAAGTCAGCTTCAGTCCTTAAACCAGACTTGTATGTGACCGTTTACTTGGTCACCTGCACTGTCCAAGATTTGCATCTTAGTAACCAGGTGAGGCAGAAGAACTTTGGGAAACTGGTTTCATTTCCTTTTAGGCTGCCAGTGGCTAACGTGGACAAGTGAGGTCACATCAAGATTAGTAATATCTGCGGACTTATTTCCATGGCTACTATAGACACTTCCACAAAGTATCTGGGGCATACAATTTGCTAGTGCTGATTTATTTCAGTATATGCAAAAATAGGAATTAGTATGATTTATTTAAATTTCACAGGAGGCAGAACCAGGAAATTAATTTTTCATCCAAATAATCTCAAGTAAAATATTTATTTATTTGTTTAAAACATTTGAATGCTGCCCCATTGTGCTACAGCACCTCTGGGCAGCTCACAGTCACAAGATAAAACACAATAAATACCAACTTCAACTTATTAAAATACAGTGTTAATAAAATATGGTCGAGTGACACTATTTTTTTTTTAAAGGAAGGTTTTTGCCTGGTACTGAAAAGAATATAAGGAAGGCACCAGGTGACTAATTCATACCCTGCTGCATGTTATTTGTGAACAAATAATTCGTGTTGTAAGCCGCCCCGAGGTTTCGGCAAGGGGCGGCATAGAAATGTTTAATAATAATAATAATAATAATAATAATAATAATAATAGAGAGAGGTTTGAGTAGGCAGAGAAGAAGTTGTGGTATGTGGCAAGGGGAAAGTAAGTCTGTCATTTCCTAAGCAAAACCTTCCTTGACATTGCCACTTGTGCAGCAATTAAACAAAGCCAAAATGAAAAATGGAAAAACTTCCATTAATAGGAACCAACTCTCCAGGCCCTGGGAAAAATAGATGGGATTTCATTGGCCCAGGCCTAGCAATGCCCCTGGTTTTGCACATAGTTTTTGACTGGATTTCAGAGTTGGGTAATAGTTATTCTTATCAACATAGTTCATCTCAAGAGAGAAAGAGCTGCGTTGCCTCAAAATCACTTTCACATCCCTCCCTTCTGCTCTTGCTCTTGTGGCACTTTGGCACTTCCATCCTAGTTTGTTAAGCTGGAATTTCCTGTTACATCAAAACCAGGGAACTGTGGTTTAATGGCTAATTACCAACCAGAATATGAAATCAGGGTCTGATCCTTTGCGTGGGCTTTATTTACACACAAACTCACTCCTAGGCATGCTAGGTTAATGCTGCAGAGAGGTTTAACTACTGAGTTGAAACTGTCTTCTCCTGAGTCAGCCCAATGGGCCTCCATATACAGTATTGATATGCCCTGCTCTTTGGGGCCCTGGCAAAAGACTTGCGCCCTGCTAATGAGATTTTCTTCCACACAGATGCCTGGATTGAATTTGCAACCTACCAGAGAGCAAGCGCTAGACTTTTCACTTCTAGGCTGCAGCTGCTCCTGCTGTGTTTCATGGTGCTTCTTTACCAGTCGTTTCCTAGCACCCTATTTATTAACATTTCTTTGTTAGTGGTGGCGAGCTTTAAAGAAAGCAAAGGGTCTGAACACCAACTTGCCTATGTTGCTGTGAACTTTTAATAGGGTCTCCAGGATATACCCTCATATAGCAAGAGAGAGAGGAAGAGAGTTGATGTGACAATGAACAGGGATGGAAATGGGAGTGAGGTTGAGAAGGATGCACAGTCTGTGTCTAATGATGGTGTGGAAAAAGATTGTGTTGGTGAGAACTCGTGGCACTGTGCGATGAAATGAAGCATGTTAGTTGAGTCATTTGAGTCAAACAGGAAACAATAGTTAATTAGAGACTTCCCATTTCTTGATGAAAAGTATTTTTCCCTTCCCTGCAGCACTGAAGCATCAGTCCATGGTCATGAAGCTTGTTGTCTCTGTCCTCTTAGCCCTAGCCAGCTCCTCCTTGGCTCTGGAGAATGGGCTTATGAGAACGCCCCCAATGGGATGGCTTTCATGGGAGAGATTTCGTTGTAATGTTGACTGCAAGACGGATCCTCATAATTGCATCAGGTAAGTGGAGGAACTAAGGAATGCAGCTTATAAATGTGGCAAGGGTGAGGAAAGCTAGGAAGAAATGGGTACCCAATTCACACTAGGCTAAATTTGTCTGGTTGGAAGGATACCTTGGAGCAAACCCAATTTTATTTTCCCCTTCCAACATATGCTACTTTCAACCTTTCTGCACTGTACTTTCTGCTAACTGAGTTCCACTTCACAAAAAAACTGGGAAAAGTTTGATGGGGAGTGACAAGCCTAGAGCATGGGTGAGTGTCAACAGATTTCTTGGTCTAGACTTTTGCTTATGAGATCCTTTAGTTTAATTGCGTCACAGCCTGTTTTGTTCAAAGCTGGGGTCACAGGGAAGGCTTTCCATGGGGAGTATAGGAGAGAATTTCCATTCCATAGGAAGGAGACATTAGAGTTCCTTCCATATTAGCCCCTTTCTCTGTAATCACATCCTTCATTTACTCACTTGTTGTGGAGAATCCACAGCATTGACAATTCATTGCATTGTGCTTCATTGTCCTCCAGGATTTTTGATAATGTCTTTCAAGGAAGCTAAGTTGGTGGCCAGTGCCACATCTTGCAGAAGCAGGTGGCATATTTAAAAATATATGCTGTGTGAAGACTTACTTTCTTTTGTCTGTCCTGAATGTCCTACCATTTTCTTTGTAGAATTTTGAGATGGGAAGAAAAAACTTTTTCTATACCATGCATAATGTAATACACCTCCATCATGCTCTCTTTCACTGTTTTCCTCAATTCTAACTAAATAGCTCCCAGATGTTACACATGCAGCAGTTCCTCTAGTCTAGCCCGTTGATCATTTTGGTTGCCCTTCTTTGCACTTTTTTCCAGTTTTACAACATTCTTTTTCAAGTGCAACAAGCAGAACTCCATGTATCATAGATCTGTGTAAAGATACGTGTGTAAAGAGGGATGCAGGTGGCGCTACTTTAGCACCTGTTCACTCAGTTTGGTAAGATCCTTCTGGACCTCTTGGCAATCCTATTTTGTTGTTATTGCCTGACTAATTTAGTGTCATCTGTAAACTTGGTTACATTGCTCACTTTACCCATTTATGAAAAAGTTAAAAATCTCCCAGTGGAGTTCCTTGAGGAATCCTTATACCCTAGAACTGTAGTTTCCTATCGTTCTTGTTCTTCCAACCCTCTGCCTCCTGTACTTTAACTTGTTTCTGTGCTTCTAACCAGCTTTGCATGAGTATCTGTGTCTGGAGAGTGAATATTCAAAATGGCTGCCAACATACTCCTCAGTCCATCAAAGCTTGAATAAGCCATAGTGGGTTGTTCAGCCTTGTGAACTGGATCAATATCTACCAGGTTGTCCCTATCTCCACTTTTATCTGAAGATGTGGGCTCTTTTTCTTAATTACAAAGATTCTAAAAAGGAATTGCACTTAAAACCAGTAAGTCTGAAACCTGTCTTTGTTTTGCAGTTGGTTTACCAGTCTTACAGTGCATACATAAGACCATGGTGCTGACCATTATTCATTATTTTAGAAGCTTTTGTCATACCCTGTTGCAATGTTCTGGGTTAAGGAGGTTGTTTTACTTAATTCTGACTTTGCCACCTACATATCATTATTAGCAAATTCTTTGATAGTTTTTAATATGTAATAATAATGAAATATATTTATCCCTTATATTTGTTTCAAAGCACTGTAAAATTCTGAAAATTAAAGTACTTCAATATGGACCTGCACCTGCTAAGTGCCATGGCACTTAATCAAAAGGCTTGTGTTTTTGCCTTCTGCCCAGTGTATGGCTTCTGGCTGTTTATGTGATTATTGCTGAACAGCTTCACTATTTTAAAAAGAAAGGAAACAAAATGCTGGGAAAATCAGCAATGAAAGCTTTCCAGTGCAGGGCTCAACTGGAAGCAATGAAAGGGCAGAAAGCTTTTAAGTTACAGTGAAAGGGTTTGTGGATGGGGTTTTTATTTACGAGTAAATATTAGAAGGAGTTGGTTCATGAAGTGCTGCTGCTATGTTAAGTACCATATGAAGCATCAACGTTAATTCCACTTCCAGCTTCCTGTGAAAAAGCTGAACAAAGCTGGAGAGCTAGTGATGGGTTCACACAATATGATGGGTTGCCACTGAATCATGGGTTCTTGTGTTGTCTCAATCCAGCAGTGAGAACAAGCCATGGTTTCTTAACCATGAAAAACCCATGGAGAGAGTCTAGTTTGTTGCTGGGTTACGAACTGTGAATGGTTTGTGATGAAAAAAAACTATGGTTTATTATTGCTTCTGAGTGCAGACGACATGACAATCCACACATTTCAGTGATAACCCACACTCAACACTTCAGTGTGAGTTACTGTGTTGTATGAACCCAGGCAGTCTGGAAGAAACTTAGAACACTGGGGGGAGAGGGGGTAAGCTGCTATCTGTGCGGGAAAATAAGATATTGCATGGAAAGCACGTTCGTCCATTAAGCAGCTCTGCCCCATTGTTGATGGTCTATGCTTCCCATGGCCACAGGTAGTCCAGGGACATGGGTATGATTTTAACACCTGCTTTTCTCCTTGTGGTACAGTGAGAAGCTCTTCAAGGATATGGCAGACCGCCTGGCAACAGATGGATGGAGGGAGTTGGGCTATGTGTATGTGAATATAGATGACTGCTGGATGGCAAAGGAGCGTGATGCAACAGGACAGCTGGTTCCAGATCCAGAGAGATTCCCTAGTGGAATCAAAGCCTTGGCAGATTATGTGAGTGGACTGCCCTGATGCAGACATGAGATCGGGGTGATCTTCCCTCTGTGATTTGAAATAAATAATAAATGCCTGTTTAGTTGGCTGTAGAGTGAGATGGAGGGAATGGTAATCAAGCCAAAGTGCTGGAGGGAAGAGCAACCCTGCAGGGTGGTACAGGGAAGGGCACATGTGGGCCAGGATAAGGGTTTGGAGGAAGAATGAGTCTGGCTTCAGCTAGGTGTCTTGCAGCAGCAGATGGGGAATAAGGAGTTTGTGTGTATGTTGGGGGGGCGGGTGGTGTCAGTCGAGTTTTGTAAGAAGTAGAGGGTGAGTTGTCATAGAAAAATGAAGGTTGGGGTGTGATGGGCTATTATATCTGTATGTAGTTCAGCAGGTTGCTTTGCACAAGTTAGAATGCATGTATCCAACATAGTTAAAAGGGTGGATAACTCCCCACCCCCCTTTGGCTCATTGTGATCCGTATTGTCTAGCCACAAGAGGGATGAAAAGGCTACAGTGAGAATTGGGTCACATGCATTGACATATTGGTGATTTATTATTTATTTAATAGATTTAATACCCATCCTTCAGGGTGCCTACCCTCACAGGGAGGATTACTGTACCCATGATCGATTAAAGTAGCTACAATCAATTATAGCCAGTGTTGCTGAGGCATTGGTTTTGATGAACTCTGAACATGTGCTGCACATGAGAATTTGGAGGAGGCTTTCCAGTCAGAGATGAGAAAAGATCCTCTGAAATGCCAAGAATCATAGAATAGTAGAGTTGGAAGGGGCCATGAAGGCCATTGGGTCCAACTCCCTGCAGTTGCAGGACACCAATTTATATCATCCCACTCATGGCCCCAGTTCTGAAAATTAACAAAATAGGACAATGGCTTTGACTTGAGAACACTGCCTGTCTTTAGAGTTTCTCCATGGGTGTTTTCTCCAAGCCTTGACTTATTTTCCCAGGTGCACTCACGGGGGCTGAAACTCGGCATTTATGGTGATCTAGGCACCCACACATGTGCAGGGTACCCAGGTACCACATTGGACAAGATTGAACAGGATGCTTCAACATTTGCTAGGTGGGGAGTAGACATGCTGAAGCTAGATGGCTGCTACTCGTCAGCAGATGAGCAAGCCCAAGGTAAGCAGTGAGGCTGCTGTTTGCCTCTGTTTGCTCCGTCTTTCAGCGCTCCATATTATGCATGGGCCCAGACTGACACCTGGTGTTGAACAGAATGAATAAACATTAATGGTTTTTTAAAATCCTTTAATTAAATATGGGTGTTTTCCAGAAGGGTTAGTGTTAGGTGAACTGACTCTAAACAAACATGTTTATATCTATAGTCTTAAAAAGTGTTTTAAAGCATCAGAAGTAGTTCTTCTATAGGAAAAAAAAAGCAAAAGGTCGAGTGGGGCAGGATGAAATTAAGCATTTCTAAACTGAAGCATTATACAATATGCTTGACACAATAAGTCCCCTAGTGCATCTGTTACTGTGGGCTTTCTATTGGCTCCAAGGAATAGCACATTTTTAGAAACACTAGAATCTAGGAGATGTCATGCTGTTTCAAGATTTCATGCATTTCATCATTTTGGCACTCATATGGATCACGTATTTCATGCCCTCTGTGTACTCAATCTCAGCAACTTGTGGAGACTTCAATTTATGAATGCTTATGGCACTACAAAAATTTGTGGAGACTTCTCCTCTCTTTGAAAAACACATTTTACCCAGTACCTACCAGTTCTTGCTTCTTAAAAGCTCTGGTTACTTACTATGTATCTGTCTGCTAAGCCTTACATATGTGCACAGAGTTACCAATTTAACTTTCCAGTATGTGATCCTGTGTAGTATCTTTGCTTTTGTGTACAGAGAGGGCCAAACGGGGGGAATCTAACCATCAAGCAAGTAGAATGATTTTAGATGTTATGAAAGGGTAGCAAGTTTGTTAGCTATTTAGGAACAGTCCTATTGATAGCACCCTTGTTGCTTATAAGCATTATAACTTGGAAGCTCTTGAGCATTCAGGACAGAGCGCTTGCCCGCACCCTCCACTCTGCAATTCGGCTAGGCAGTCATTGTCAGCCATTTAGATGAGGCACCTTGTGTGGGGTCGGGGACTGGCGTGCCGTCAGGATACCTCAAATCTTGGCAGTCCCAGTCTCCTCCTCTCCAAGGTCAATTTTCTGACCTCAGAGAAGCAGCCAGGGGAGTTCTTTTTGTGCCAGTTGTGAGGGGAGGAAAGATTTGGAGTATGGATCCCACGCTCCAAGGTCAGAGCTCTGTTTTCAACCTGAAATCTGGGAATCCAAAGTATCCTATGGCCTCTGGATGCTGTTTCAGTTGCCATAAGATTGCCTCTTCTGTACTATTGTGTTTTTCCATCAGGGAGTAGAAGATGTGTTCAAGTAACTTGCCTGGCCTTGAGCCCATGCAGACAAGGGCATTAGCTACTTTGTCTCAGACTACAAAATACCTTGGCCCAGCTCTAACAACCAACAACTTATCCCTAAGCAGGTACCATTTTGCAGTTTGTGTAAGCTGCATATGCTTATGTTGTATAAAGGTTCTGACTAGTTGCAAACCATTCTGTTTCATTATAGCAACCAATTGTTCTGCAATACAAATTTTGAGATGAGACATTTCATTTTAAGCTTTCCATCTTGATCTTGTGCTCCTGTCCTTTTAAGCTGAAATGGAGACGTATCCTACAGAACTTGCTACCCCAGGAGAAAATGGCTGTGACATGGAAAAAATGTCATCCAGCTCCATTTCCCAGTCATCTTCTCCTTAAAACATAAGTGCAGTTGTGTTTCTAGAGATCTCCTTTATGAAGGAGAATGCCATCAATGCCACGTTGTTGGTGTTATGGACCGTCATGTCGTCTCTGACTTACGGCAACCCTACAAATGAGTGCCCTCCAGAACGTTCTGCCTCCCCAGCCCTGCTCAGCTCTTATGCACTTCAGGCTGTGGCTTCCCTTATGGAGTCAAGAGCATGTTAAACCATCCTGAAAGGTCAACAGAAGTGTGTGCATTTGCCAATCATGTGATTAATCATCTCTTCACAGAATTTTCTAAGTGCATTTGGTTGAAATGCTTGCTGATGGAACAGTGCCAAGAAGTTGTTATATGTTCACGCAGAGTACAGTTCTGATAAGGGAACAGCTTCTCAGTGGCTAAATATATTCTTATAGGTTCCAGTTCTCTCCACTGGAGACCTTCTGTCATATCAGCTTGTATTTATAATTTACTTATTTATATCTGTATCCTGCCCTTTTCCTGCAAAGAACCCAAGTCAGTTTACATAATCCTCCTCCTCTCCATTTTATGCTCACAACAACAAGCTTGTGAGGTAGGGTAAGCTGAGAGCCCAGTGAGTTTCATGGCCAAGTGGATCCTGGATCTTCTGAGCCCCAGCTCAGTGCTCTAACCACCATGCTACATTTGGTCTTTTATGAAATAGGGGCAACTGTGATATGAAAATGGAGGCCTAAGGACCCTAATATTTACAGTGCAAACAGTTAAGAGAGTTGCAGTGGTTTTAAAAATATCACAACAAAAGAAAGGGGGACTATGTTTCTACCAACATGTGCAACCCATGTAGAGTTTGTCTTATAAAATGCTATACAACTGTTTATCTTGTGGGAGAAGGTCCTGGTGAATGGATTCTAGGCCTAGAGTAAGAACCCATTTGAGTTCTTGCTTTTAAAAAATGCTTTTGTTTTCAATTTGTGCCACTCTCTCTAAGCCAAATACAAGGTGTTACTCTCATTCACATAATAATTCACTTTGTCAATTGTCTCGGTGCCATATTGTTCTTAAAAGGTTATCCTAGAATGACCAAGGCTCTGAACGCAACAGGCCGTCCTATTGCCTATTCCTGTAGCTGGCCAGCCTATCGAGGGGGACTCCCACCTAAGGTGAGGCATATCTGGGAAAGTGTTGTGACTGCAAGTAGTTACACCATTCCTTTGAAGCTTCTTCAGAATTTTTCCAACTCCATTTTGATCATTTGGGTAGTGCAAACAAGGAACCACACTGGGATGGGTAGAAAGTAGACCTTTTGGACTTCAGTATTCCTGATCACTGACCATACTGGCAAGAGCTTCTGGAAATTGGTTGATGACTGCTGAAGGTCACCCAGTACACTACACAACTAAGGAAGGATCCAAATCTGCATCTTCCTGTTCCAAATCCAACACAGAGACTGGGTTCACACAACCTGACCATTCATGGTGGCTTGTTTTGTCATGTTAAGTATCTAAGTATTGTTCTAACTGATGCTACAATAGTAGTGCTGTGTTCTTCCACTCTCTGACACTTATCTGCACCTTGCTTCCTGTATCCCCAAAAGAAAAATATACAAAGTTGTTCCATATCTTTTTCAGGTGAATTACACTTTTCTGGCAAACATATGTAATCTCTGGCGAAACTATGCTGACATACAAGACTCTTGGAACAGCGTCCTCTCCATTGTGGAGTGGTTCTCTGTCAATCAGGATGTAATTCAGCCTGGAGCAGGCCCTGGCCATTGGAATGACCCAGACATGGTAATGTTAAGCAGAAGGGATTGATTTGAAAGTTAGGCATAAGAGAGACAACACCTCAGGAAAGAACAATGAGAGCCTTTTCTAAGCTGAGCTACTGCTGTCTCTCCTTTTGTTTTTATTGCCCCTCATTCCTAGGTTCGGTCTTAACTACTCCTCTGTTCTGCAGTTAATCATTGGAAACTTTGGCCTCAGCTATGAACAGTCCCGGTCCCAGATGGCCTTATGGACTGTGATGGCTGCTCCTCTCTTCATGTCCACGGATCTCCGCACTATTTCAGAGAGTTTCCTGGAGATTCTACAGAACAAGTTGATGATCAAAATTAACCAAGATCCCCTGGGAATCCAAGGACGCAGAATCCTTAAGGTAGGGGAGGTCAAGGGCTGGATTCTGTGACTAGATAAACATATCCAGTGAACCTTTTGGAGGTTGGAACACACATGTTCTTCTGAACCTTTTGTTTAGGTCCATCTATTTTTGTAGGAGGAATCTCATAGAGGTGTTCCTGGGCCATTTTCCCACTCAGCAAGTGCTCTGGTTAATAACCAATACCCCAAATTTTCTGGGTTGCAAACAATGCATTAAAAACATAAAATTCAAACAATAAAATGTTTGAGTACAACCAGCACATGATAAAACCAAATTAATTCAGCAGCAAAAAAAGTAAAAACAATGTAGCACATGAAACCAGAGTAAAACCTGCAACAAAATAAAAGGGAAGTCTTCAGAAAGAACTAAAAGGTCATTCATAAAATGCCTGAAATAAGTTTTTAATGGCAACAAAATGACTACGATGTTGGTGTCAGGTAGTCCTCTCTGAGGAGGGGATTCCATAGATGGGTACCACTACTGAAAGGGTCCTTTCTTTAGTAGCCACCTATCTCATTTTATCTGGCAAAAGCACCTAGAGGACTTTAGTGATTTTTTTGTAGAAGAGAGATCAATAACTAGAGCCAAATGCATGGGTAACACACACACTAACACACTAGTCTTTGCTGGTGCTCTGCTGTACTGTATATGTCCAGAGGAGTCTTCTGATTACTGCCCTTTCATCTGCTTCTGTAGGAGAAATCTTACATAGATGTATTTCTGCGGCCACTTTCCCATTCAGCCAGTGCTCTGGTTTTCTTCAGCCGGAGGACCGATATGCCGTACCGCTACACCACCTCACTTGCCCAACTCAATTTTACACAGAACGCTGTATATGAGGTAAGCAAAACAAAAAGCAGTGCAGGGGCAGGAATAAATATCTAATATCCATTCCCACACTTTCAGGATCAGCAGTGCTGGTGTCCTTGGGAGCAGGCAGCAGGGGGTGCGGCCTCCACTAGACCTAACTTCCAAGAACCCACCCTTGCCAATAACAGTGCTTTGCAGTCTCAGCAGCTGTTGAGAAATTTCGTTCTTGGCGTTCCAGCAGTTAGGCTCCATCCACTGACCCACCCTTGGGCTAGGTCTGATTGACACCACCAGTCCACAGTGTTGTAAGCTGTTTTAAATGCAGCCACCTTTGGGCAGCTCACGCTGTCCAGTAGTGCATTGCATGAACAGGAGATTGTTCGCTCTGCTGCTGCACGTTTTTTGTGGAGGCAGCTATGATAAAGAGATCCAGCTCCACATGGTGTTGTTTACCCATTATCTGTTTTCATGCAGAGCAGCATTTGCATTATTGCACTATGGACAGTCTTGCTTCTGCTTTTCGAAAATTATCATACTACACAGCAAGACAGACCATGAACCAGCAACCTTTTCCTCCAAAAGGCTGTTTAGGAAATGCAGGGTTCGATGGGATAAGGTGGTGCTGTTTTCAAAATCCAGCTAATAGATTTGCAGATTTTTTTTTGCATGTTGTATAGTGTCATTGAAATAGCTACTCACGATCTTTGGCCAGGTCTCAAGTGGATGTATACATGGCAATTTATTTATCCAAATATACTTTTAAGCAACTATTTCTTGTCATATTGCAGGCACAAAATGTGTATACCGGTGAAATCATCAGTGGCTTAAAGACTGCGGACAACTTCACAGTGGTCATTAATCCCTCTGGAGTAGTCATGTGGTATCTTTACCCAACTGCATACTTGGACCTGTCTTCCAGTTTTGCCAAGCAGGAGCTGAAAGTCAAGAAATTCAGCCCTGTGACACTGTGATGCTCCTGGTATTACTGCTGGTAACTCCAAGTGGAAAAGGCAAACCAATTGTACAAAATGGTGATCTTACACAGGCAGGGTAAATGTCTTGCTTATCTACCTCCAAGAGCTATGGGGAAGCTCAATTCTGTGGCCTTATTTTGTGGATTCACTTGGAAGGATTACTAAGGCTAGAATAAGTCCCACTGAACTCCGTAGGGGTTACATTTGTGTAAATATGCACATTTGTGTAAATATGCACTATAAGTTTGCATAGTTGCTTCAGTGATGGCCAGATAATTTGAAACAATCAGATGTGTTAAGCTACTGTATAGCAGAAGTGTAAGCTCAGATCAACCTAAGTTGAAGGAAATTAGGATATTCCATAGGTTGCAGAAAAGTAATTTGCCCTGGATTACTTGCAATTGAAAAAATCTTTGCTGATCAAATGAACTTCAAATTAGCTCTACTCCTCTTTCCTTCCTTCCATGCAGTGCAAGTATTTTAACTGTGCTGGTCTCAGTGGCAGCTAAATTGAATTTCACCTCATGAACTAATCTGGGAGAAAGGAAGGAGCATAGAATCATGGCAACACATCTTACTAGGGAAAGAAACTAATTAGTACCTCACAAAGGCAAATTACCAATCTGAATGTATTAGTAGTAAAACTCACTCTTCCAGGAATGTGCAACCTCAGAATGCAAGAGGAAACAAAATCAAATGCAGTAATGTCAGGAAAAAGGGTTCTTGCTTATCCTGCTCCCGAGTTGCTAGTTTTGTATCTGCAGGAAGGGATGATTAACAGAGGGGTATCCTACATCTGTATTCAATTATAGACTTTCCCAAAATTCTATCATGTTGCTCAGTGTGGCTTTGATTTTAGGAACGTATCAATCCCTTGCTGGAACAAATCAAAGGTTCATCTATTCCAACATCCTATTCCTGGCAAAGGCCAGATGCCTGCCCAGACTGCAAGCAAAGGCAACAACCTGGGCATGTAGTTTGTTCCTGTATCTAGTATTCAGAGGCAATATACCCTCCAGCTGTAAAGTAGCCTATTTATATACTACAAAACTGCTAATCAGAAAGCACTGTGTATGTGCATAAACATGAAATTGTGTGCTACCCAACTGCACATGAGATTTGTATACACACACTGAGAAAGTGGAATGGGCTGCAGCTTGCAGCATTCATACAAAAATTTAAAAATATTTGTGTGTATATAAAGACAAGTTATACAACTGTGTAGCTTTCCTGAGCATGCTTATACGAAAGTGGCTTCTACCCACCAGGTTTACAGGGAATCTGTCACAGATGTTAGGTCCCATGTTTTAACTCATGCTTGTGAATTATGCATTACACAGGAGATGGGAGCATGCAAAATTTCTGCTTCTGGGTAGAATCCATTTTGACACAGAAAGGGCTATATAGGGAGAGACCTGTATCTCCCTGTCATAAGGAGGTAAGAAGAGCTGTGCTGGAACAGTCCAAAGGCTTATCAAGTCCAGTGTTCTCTTCACAGAGGGTTCAACCTGTGGGAAGCCTGCAAGGAGCAGCACCCTATCACTCATGTTCTCTAGCAAGTGGTATGTGGAAGGGCACTACCTCTGATGCCAGAACTGATATATCACTTCATAATGATTCCATTAGGACTTGACTTTTGTATTTTCTCAATCTTCCTGCTGTCTTCATGCATCAAGCCCTGAATCAGTTTTCAACTCTTTGAAATAGCAGTAGCTGCCCCTAGAAGACTTCCTGAGCCATTATCGGAATGGACAGGATAAAAATGTTTTAAATAAACAGAAGCTCTTATTTACACTCATGGGCTTAAGGAATTCAGAATGACTTTCTTCTGGAATCATTCAATTCCATTCATCTGAAAAGCCCATAAACAGTCTCTTTTTTGTAGGTCTCTTGGATTTCTCCCTGATTTTTCTAACTATTACAAGGTGAATTTTGTTTTTATAATTGTTCTTATGATTATTTTACTTTGTTGTATTGATCTACTCTATAGCCTGCTTTTTTCAACATAATAAAAACATTTTAAATTAAATCAGGTTTTGAATAAAGCATATTGTTTCAAGTGATGAGTTGATTGTGGAACAATTCAGAAATACTATACTTCATAAAGTATAGAATTCAGAGGGACCTTGGAGGTTATCTAGTCTAACTCCCTACTCAGTACTTAAGCTCTGATATTGTTACAATATTCAAGAAAAAGGATATGTTTAGGTTGCTCTTTAGTGTAGAAATCATGGCTTGTTACTAATCACTTAGGCTGGGTCCTTTTTATTGAAGCAGGAAAGCAAAATCAACCTAAACAAGAACTTTCAAAGACAGAAGGCTTGCTGGACCAACAACTTCTACATTAGCCACATAGTGATTCAGCCATTCAGTAATATCCAGAACAAGCCTCCCCAGTGTAGTACCCTCTAGGTATTGTATGCTATTAACTCCTAACAATCGGGGGTGATGGGAGTTGGAAGTGCAAAACACCTGGAGGGCACCAAGTTCAGGAGGGCTACTTCACAATGTCTTCTTGTATGCAAGTTACTCTTTCTGGATACATAAACCTGAACTGTTAAGGCACATGGGCTGTCAGCAACCTTCTGATGCACCTTTACTGTTTCTTGCATTCCTTAATGGTATGCTTCAGGAGGGGTCATTTCACTAAACAAAACACTCCTTTGAAACCTGTGCTAATTACACTGTGCTAGCACAAGTAACCTCACTCTGAATGTCAGTAGCAGTAGGGAGTGCAAAAGGATTCCCAGAAAACCTGTCACGCCAGTTAATCTATTGGCATTGTGCTAGAGGTCCCTTGGTAGTTCAGTGCAATGTACATCAGCACTCATGTTACACAGGCTACTGTCCTTTCTCTGCTAGAGAGTATATCTGCATGATATCAGGCAAAGAAACTATTGTCAAGGAATAAGTAATGAGGCAAACATCTGAGGGACAGCAGGAGGCTTCAGCACTAAAGCAAACTAGAGGCTTGGTGACAGTAACTTTGGGTTCAGTGATGCTTGTGAATACCTCACAAAAAATTGAAACCTGACAAGAGCAGTCTTTCAAGAAGAGTTAATCTATTTGGACAGCAGATATTAGATGCTACCCTCCTGCCTTTGCTTGTGAATAGGAAAAATGTGGGGTAAGGAGAGGAGAGAGGGAAAATACAGTTCTCACTTTCTGCTTCCAGTACCTTTCAGTTCTGTACAGTTTAAATATCTAGAGGTACAAGTCATTCACTGTAGATGAAAAGGTGAATTGCTACTGCTATTACAAGTGAACTTGTACAGGTCACCATCTAATGTGAATATTACTGGAAGAGGCTTATATTTGATGAGCCAGCAGTTACTATGGCTATCCTCTGTGGTTTATCTTCCAACATTTGATATGCTAAAGAACAAAAATTAAAAGTGAGGTGGAGTATCTGGGGTTCTCTAGACTACAGCTACCCTAAACTTTCAGTGTTGGTCATGCCTATAATCCCATCAGACCCAGGCAGCATGTTTTCTGTACCCCACCCCTGCAGGAAAAGTTCCAGTAGCAGTCCATCCTCCATTTCAAGGCACTCTGTGCCTTTCTGTTGTGTGCATTCCAGAAACTTTTCCAGAATACCTCCTTTGATGATTCTACTTAAGTTTGAGAAACAGTATCTTTTAATATATGGTTGGAACTGTGAAGTTACGAGACAGATCAACTTAAGGTAGTTTTTCATTCAATTAGCAAAAAATGATCCCACCTCCCATTCCATGATTCTTGCAAAACACAAATCCATCAAGTTATCAACACAGCACTATGGACAGGTATTTCAATTTTTCTGTATTAAAGTGCAATTCAAAAATATTACAAACATAGCTAAATATTAAATTATGAAAAGTTAAGCTTCTTGGATTCAGGTTAAAACAATTTAATAGAGAATTTCCTCCTATGCCTGCTGAGTAATATGCTCAGGTACTAGAGGGAGTATAGAAAGAAAAGGTCCTACCAACACATATCAGTGTGTGGTCTGGGCTTTTGCCTGCGAAATACATCCCTAGCATCCAGGAGGTGAGAAGGAAAGATACCCTAAATTATCAAGTTTTATGTAAATTTCCTGCTCAGTGCAGGACAAGTTCAAAACAGTGGAGCAGTTCTCCTTAGAATAAATATATGGGAAAGACATATGTGAAAAGTATCCATTAGAAAGTGAAACAATCAATACAGGAATGCTAACTGCTTCTGCAATTCTTGCTGGCAAATATTATTTAGCCAACTTTACTCAATTGAAGCCATCTCCTCCAACATTGTTCCATTGGGGGAAAACCCTCCTATCAAGGCTTTCAGTATATAAGACAATATTGTCCCACCCCTATTATCCCCCATGTAGTGCTTTCTAATTATGTTACGACCTCAGTGAAATTGCACAGAGGCCTAAAAAGTAGCCTTCATGTTCCAGCTGAAATTTTAGCAACTGCTAGAATTATTTCAATGTTCTGCAGCAGAAAGCAAATGTATTCTCCTATTCAATATACTCCTCTCTGGCACAGTGGAGTTCTGGGCAAGAATCAGCCCATTACTAATAGACCAAAGCACTCAGCTTGGGTCCTGTGCTCAGAACATTTGCTCTCTGTTGCTTGGTCTTTCTACTGTACTCCACAAGCTTTGGTTAACTACATGTTGTTCCTCTTAACTCCACACTGTTTTCAGAAAGCCTTTATCTTTGGTTCCAGCTCAACCAGGGGATGCTTCCCATGTTTCCCATTTGTGGTAACAATAGGCCTTGTTTCAATATGTGACCCAGTGCCATTTACCCTCATTAACCAACAGAAACAGAGGAACTTACTACATACTTTGCACATACCCCTGAAGACCCCTTTTCAAGGGAAAACTAAGGTTTTAAGAAGTGTAGAGAGATTCTCTGCTTCAGAGCTTGGTTTGAAACTTACGAGCTGAAGAAACAGTAACAATTGTTTAAAAATATGGCTACTAATATACCTTCTGTGGTGAGCTGCCCTTCCCTCCACCTCCAGGCCACTTGCTCTAAACATCACTGAAGAATTTCCTCTAAAGTCCTCCCTGGTACTTTTCCCTGGAGAGATACAAGCCGTCACATATGTACAGAAGTCCCTCTTATGCATTAACAGCATGGAGTGAGAATTGTAACATGATGCCAGCAGGCATTTAGAGATGCATGAAAGCGTAATACTCCTGTCAGACACAAGTATCCGTCTCCCATTGTGAAAGTGCTTTGCTTCGGATTTATTCCTACAAGTGAGGTGGCTCCATCTGCATCACCTCTTCTTCAAAGCTATGGGCTCGAACAGTTCTATCCTAGCCTCAAGAGAGAAAGAAAGCAGTCAGGAAAGCATTGCTGTCACTGCCCTTTTATACTGCCATGCTAACAGTTTAGGAACAGTGGGCATTTGTCCCACAATGTGGTGGGTGTTGCTAACACAGGATGACTAGACAGGAAGGACCAGGAGGAGACGGCAATAGCAAAAGTCTTCCAAGGACAAAAAACATGGGAGGACGGCTCCTGGGCTCCTGTTAGTTGTTCTTCTTTTCCTCAGGTGGTGCATAAGGAGGTGGCAGATCCTTAAAAAAAAGGAAGAAGGTATTAACTTGGCATATCTACTGTTCATGAGTTTCCCACTTTATTTAGTTTCTATACCACCCAATAGCTAAAGCTCTTTTATGCAGTATATCCAAGTTTTGTCTGTTTTTCTAGCTTCTGTCTGCAATTAAGATTAAGCAGTTGTATTTAAAGCTCCACTAAATTAAACCATTTCAATCCACATCCTTTGTGATCCACTGTGTTCCAAAATGGATACAACATCTAAAATAAGAGCCCTCAAACCACACAATTAGTATTTCTTCTTGTTCTTCCTCTTCTTCTTCTTAGTCGTCCTCTTTCCCACACAACCAAAGAGGCAGCCAGTGTCATCTAGCAGTATTTTGTGAGTCAAAGCACACATTACGATACTTGTTTGGGGTGGGAGAGAAGTTAGACATGGTTGCAGCTGCTCTATTTTAAAACTAATAGGAGAAAGGATACACTCTGGACTCTCTAGGTGGCATCATGCAACTGATCATGGTTTTTATTTTTAATGCACCTATTTTTCTCTGAAATTCAAAACTCCTCCATTCCTCTTCAACACTGCTATTGTAAAGGGAAATTTTACTACATTTAAATAATTATATGCCTTGCTTATCAATGACAAGCACTTGCTTCCTTTTCGTATCTGGCTTGGGTTTTCAGTCCTACAAAGACAACAGTGACTTCATTTGCATGTCATGCTAAGACACTGTGGGGTGTTCTAGGGATCTGTGAAGGTTGCTTAACCCTCATATAATGCACATTACCTGGACTCTTATGACATGACCTGTCATGGTTTGCATTTTTAAAACATCAGCTCACTTGTGGCCTATGGTCACTAGTTATGAACTGTGACCAGGCCCCAGTTACTTTATAAATAGATGCTCATAGATTATATTTTAAAACATTAAGAATAAGCAAATATACTTATTGGGCATATAAAAATGATACCATGGTACTTGTTGACAAAGTTTAAAGCAGGAAATTAAAACATAATAAATGTTTACATACAATTGCAGTTTACTGTTCACAGAGATTAAACCATACTTACTATCTTTCTGGCTACAATACTCTTTTAATCCTACCACTGCATACTTATTCATATTGCTGATATTTACTTACAGAGTTTTACAGAGATTTCCCAATTTAGTCTCCGGTTTTATCCAGTCTAAGGCCTTAGACAGTCAAGAATTTGTCTTATAATGTTCCCTTTTCCCTAGGTTGTAAGTAAAAAGGCAAGGCAAGCCTTTGGCTCAGAAGGCAGCTTTTTTCACTAGGTTTTTTTGATATGTTGTAATATTGTTGCCTTCTCAATACTTTTTAACATTGCATTTTAAATTCTGCACATTGCCATACTCCAACACAGCAAAAAGCAAAGATAGCAGACATGCTGTAAAAGGCTGGATTCCATAACTTTAGTGGCTTCAGGTTATGTCAGATGAATGCTAAGGAAGCAAGAAATCCACCTGCTTCTACTCTCTTGTTTCCCTAACAAGAAGATCATTTCTACTGAAATTCTTACCATAGGCATGTAGACATTATGAGGATTGGCTGGATTATAATATGCACTGGAAGTTGCCTCTGCTGCTTTGTTGCCACCTACAATGAAACAAACCCGTCAGGGGTTTTTTTTTAAACAAAGCATGACAGACATACTATTTATATCCCTGTTTTGCATCATTTTCTGGATAAAATAGGAGGGCAGATTCTGCTTTCTCGGCAAGAAAGACGTAGGGCATGACTAGGTATGCAGAAGCAGCTTGACTTGTGAACAGCAATGATTTTGGAGAGCCTGGTAATGGGAGAGAAGATCTCACAGTAGGCACAGAAACTGCAATCCAGAAATATGATGTGAGAGAATGCAAGAGAGAAAAGCCATATATACAGATGGCAGACCCAGCACTTTCTCCAGGATTAGTTAGCCTTCTGGGCTTTAACCAAACTGCATTTTTCTTAATCACTCCTGGATCCTTTTTTTTTTTTTTTTTTTTTTTGAGATTGAGTAATCTTTCACAAATAGCATTTTACATCCCCCAGAAGTTAGCCCAAGCCTCATTGGCTCCAATGGCTATTAGAACGGAGTAAGTCCTCAGCATAAAAATGCACCTAAGGAAATCAGTTGATGGTTTCTGGACAATAGTCCTAGAAAATATATTCTTCTGCAAATTACAGTTCAGACAGGTCGGGATTTCAGTTTAAGGCAGGCATGCTTTAAAGAAAACAAGACCTGGTAGATCAGAAGAGAGGTAATATCACAATACATTGACAGTACGTATCTCTTCAAATAACGCATTCAAAATTTAAAAGATGGATGACTTAGGAGTCTGATGGAATTATTCTCATAATTAATGCAAGCTATCCTATGGTCATACCGGGCATTCCTGGCTCTGTCCAGGTTCTAGGTGCTGATCCTCCATCAGCTGGGGCTGAAGGTGCTGGAGCAGAAGAGGGACCTGGATATGGAGGAGGTGGTGCCATATATGTCCCAGGAGGTGGTGGATACATCCCTGAAGAAAGAAAACTAATTCCATTTCTGACCACACACACTTCAGTTAAGTATTTAACTAGGAGCAGTTTAGCAGGGCATTTTTTTTCTACATTACATTTCATCTTCCCTTCCAGGAAACTTTCCCCAGCACACACACACATTTAAAATGTGACCACTTGCCTGTGCTGGTCCTACAACTCTTCCCATCAGTTGTATGGGTAGCATGGCACCAAAGAGATAAATCACCCTATGCAAACCTACTGTCAGGAATGGATGTGCCAAACAATTGCATCTCAGCATGTAGACAAGCCTTAATTGTATCTTGTGTAGAAAAGTCACCCTTATCCATATTTAAGGTATTCCAAACAGTTAAGATTTAATATGGTCATCTACACTGTGAGAAACCTGTGCATGAACCTATTTACATTGGTTAGATTTCAATAAGCAGTTCTAGTCATCCCATGTATATACAGTTACGTGTATTTTATATTGCTATTTATGTATTTTAATTTATTTGTTTGTAAGCCGCCCCGAGGCTTCGGCGAATGGGGCAGCCTAGAAATTTTCTAGAAAGATAGATAGATAGAAGAGCTATCCAGTTCTACAGAAAAACTAAAATTCTGCCCGATTTGAGCAGCAATATTTTACAAAGAATATGCAAATCTTTTACCTGGAGGAGGTGCATATGGATATCCCATAGGCTGTGGAGCAGGTCCATATCCATTCATTTGTGCAGGGACATAAACATATGTTCCAGCAGGTGGTGTTACAACATAGTTCCCTGGTGCAGGTCCATATCCTCCTGGAAAGGGTGGAGGGCCGTAGGCCCCAGGAAAAGGTGCATACCCATAGCCAAAGCTCTGGGTAGGTGTTCCTCTGGAAGCTAAACATAAATATATTTTGTAAGCAAAATTCTGCACATGAGCTCTTGGACTTCAAATGACTGGCCCTCAATTAAAAGGAGACTGACTTTAGGTGGAACTATCTCCTTTCATGCCACACTGATAATATTTGGCCAATTTGCACCTTGAGGAAGACTAGGTTGAAAATAAACAAGATGGGCTGGAGAGGGCAGCATCTAGGAATGTGCAGAAAGATGCAGTCGAAGGGCTAATCTGGAGGTACAGCTACCAATTATCACTATCAGAACCAGAAAGCATCTACAGAATAATTCAGGGTAGTGAGGGGAAATCTTACCATCACTAGCAAGTCTAAACATCATCTGCCCAAACTCTATGGCACCTCCACTGTAGAAACTCATCTTAAATGAAGCCTCTCCTTCCCAGCCACCTAAGAAAAACATGAATTTAAAAGTCTTAATTAGGACATCTTCCAAAAAGATTGTCAAGACAATATTGTTAGGGTTACCTCAAATGCTTCATGGCAAAAGAAAAACTGAGAAGTTTCACAAAAGATAGAAATCTCCTCTTCTACAATGTGTTTTGTTTAAAAGCAATACTTGGATTATTTTTTTTCTCCTCAAAGTCATCAAAAGATGCCTACTACTTTAACAATATGGGAATTCTGTGTCTCTAAAAATGTCAGTGTGAGAAGTTGCATTTCTTCTGAGAAGACTGTAAGTGAATAACATAATCCAAAGCCCAATCAAATATTTTCTGCTGATTTACTAATTGAATCAGGGTTTGGAATTTCATCAGAATGCCCATTACAAATTTCTACCAGCAGAATCTTTCACCTGCTTATTCCAGCTAGAAGAAATTCTAAGCTAAAATTCTGAGAAATTCACTTCCACAATAAAACCCAACTTTTTCTTTTCCCAGATCATGATGAAAGAATAATAAAACTAAGGTGGAAACCCTCATTATTTATTCTAAAGTAGTTTCACTGAACAAAGCACCTGTAAGCAAAGAGACTACATCTGCTGACAGGAAATCAATTGTTTATGGGATATTGGGGCAGTAAACACACAATAGTAAAAGCCATTGTTGGTATATGATGTGATCTAATTTCAGTGTGAACATCTTCAAATCTATATGCACAGATTTCCCTTTTATATAAGCTGATCAAAAACAATATAATTGGCAGAAATATAAAACTGGATCCCTCAGCTAGATTTTGCACATGGCTCTTTTACTAAAATCAAAGAACCGGGACATTAATTTGCCTCTGAGTTGTAATACAGACCTCCAGGTTCTGCTTGTATCACTCCTTTTATATAATTGGCAGAAAATACTGGCTGTTCAATTGAGCATCCTTTCAACAGGTGAAATGGCATCATGAAGGACATCATTTGGTCTTTGCTCTTGGACACGAAAATAACCTGAAAGATACTGAGTCATCAAACTTCTATGCATGTTTTCTTTCTCCTATAAAAGGTCCAAAGCAGATCATGCAGGGATAAAAACAAATATATAACACTAGATTTCATATTAAATGATCAAGTAACAACTGCTTATACTTCAAGGCAAGAAAAAGCCAGTTCACCAGCCAAACTTCCAGACTTTGTTCAAAGAAACCTAATGAAAATGTTCACCCTTTCCTAAACATCTTTGACACTGAACTCAAGAATTTGGGAGGCAGTTCCAGCATGGAGGTCTCCCTCCAAACTTTCTCTTGTTGTGTTCCTAGTGCTCAGAGTGTTCTTCTCCTAGCTTAAGTAGGCCAGTAATAGAGGACAGGGGCTATTAAAGGAAAAAGGTAAGCCAGACCCAACCTATGTAGGCTTCACAGTCACAGCACTCTGAGTTACAGTGGTCCAAAATCTAAATGGGAACAAGTGCAGAAAATGGAAGAGTGGTGTCAACCTCCTCCCCTATCCCATACAGGAAGCTGACTGAAGTTTCTAAACAGCCTCATGTAGAATGTTTGGCAGTGGCATCCTAGTTTTCAGCTATCCATTGGAAGCAAGAATATGTGCCTCTCAACTGAAGGGAGGTTGCACCAGCAGCACTGCCACTTTTTTAATTCTGTGTATTTGTATGTTAAGAGAAAAGGTGATCAAATGCACATTTAAATTTAACCAAAGTACTTGCATGCTACTTTTCAGAGCAAAGTCCTCCTAGGGTAGCTTATAAAGGATAACTTTAGTTATAGAGGATAACTAAAATGGTATTAATGTTGTCACAATAAAATATCAAAATAATAACCTGTATCAAAAACTAAATACAGGAGCTATTTAAAACTCAATACGCCAAACTTTTAATAGGACACAGACTGAGACAATCTTTAAGCTCTACTTAAAAATGAAGTGGCAATATATACCACTCCTGGAACAGTTCCAGAGATACGGGCCCAAAACCACTATGGAAAAGGTCTGCTAATCCAATGGATCTCAATGGCAGGCCTGTGAGAAAGGCAACAGAGGCCAGACTTAAGGGCAAAACAGGGTACAACCTGGTCACAAATTATTTAGGACTTTAAGGGTCAGCAACAGTTCTTGAAATTGCGTGCTGAAACAAATAAAAACCCTGTCCATCTCGTATCAGTGCTGCATGCTCCAAAGTGCTGGCTTCCCACAAGCATCCAAGTGGCTGTGTTCTATGACCATTTCTGAAAGACATGTGCTATAGTAGTCTTGTCTGGAGGTACCCAGGGCATGTGCAACTTAGGCAAGGTTCTCATTCTCTAGATAGACTGGCTTGCAAAATGTGCCCCTAAGTTGGTAAAAGACACTTCTAGCCACACACACTACCTGGATCTTCATAGTTAGCATCAAGGTCAGGTAAACAACCAAACTGCAAACTTGGCCTTTCAGGGGGAACACAACCCTGTCCAGATCAGTAGATTTCCCAATCCACAGTACTTCCATTTTATCTGAAGTAATTTTAAGCTGGTTTATCCTCATCCAGAAGAGGGCAAACACTTTACTTCTGGTATATATATTTGATAGAATTTGTGCAGATGCAGAAAGCTGCACTTGCAAAAAAAAATGCCTCTTGGAAGCTTTGAATGTATGGAAGTTTTGAAAGTATGAATGAGATGGAAGCTTTACCCTTCTTTTCATCTAGTCATTCTAAGAGAAGGAGAAGCAAGACAGATGTAAACAGTAAAAAAATGAAATGTAGGTTTTGAGCTGTATGCTGTAATTAAACATGGGAGCCAAGAAACTACACACAGCTAGTCTTCAATGTAAAGAAGGCACAGGTCATGATTGCCAAGCCCTCATTCTCCAGGAAAGGATAAATATAAATGATGAAAAGCTATACTGATCGTATGCACATCAAGGAATGAAGCCACACATGCCATCTTTCACAAAACATGAATCCCACTGAGGACTGGTAAATGTACCTTTTCAATTTCAAGCAGTCCCCCTGCAATTAGTACCTCCAGTTTCTCCAGCTCTTTGCCTTCAACCATCCCAGCTAACTCACAACATCCTTACTCCAGAACAAACTCCAGATCCTCAGTGTTATTCAAATAAAGACAAGGTGGATGTCTTCAGAATATGACATCACCACACACCAGATCATCAAATAATTGACTGTTCCCCTCACCACTGACTAAGCTCTCCAGGGCAGATGTAAATACCCATCCACTAACATGTGGAGAGACACATGTCCTCCATTCCAGTCAATGCAGAGGTTAAAGCAAGATTAGCATTAGAACAAAGCCATGTAAAAGTCCACAGAAAAGTTCACTGCTAGAAAAAAATATTCCATTTTGTGGAATGTATCAGGAAGGACCATAAAAGTACTTCCCCCAAAACCCTCACAAACTAATCAACTTAGACAGCCCAAAGATGATCATAAGTACTATCTTCAAAGATGGCAGGAAATCCTAATTCTTGCAGAGGAGGCTGTAATGTACACAATCCACAGAGCCAGTTTCTATTTTGTGTCAATCAGAGTCCCACATTATCAGCCATCAGCAGAAGCATGATGAAACTTCAAAAAATAATCTAGAACCTGACAACAAACTTGCGGTAAACATTCTGAACATTAAGAACACAGCCAACCTCTTACCAACATTATGATTTAACTAGTGGGGGGGAAAAGAAAAATATATACAAAATGTGCACAAAACAAGTTGTGCTGAAGGTCTTGCATTAGCTATTGCTAGACAAAGGATGATGAAAGATAGCCATAGTCTGGGGGGTGCAGGTGAGATGGAGAAGCTGACTCCTGTCTTTATTTAAGAGCATAACCCTATACCAATTTAGCCAGAAAGAAGCCCACAGCTCTCAACCTGCCCTAATAAAGGGGATCTAAACAATATCATGGAAGATTCCAAGACTTACCCTGTAAGGAGTGAGGAACACCATGCCTTTCTTAGTGCCTTTGAAGAGCTCTGCCTTGTTAGTCACATCAGAGAAGGTCAGCTCGACATCTTTACAATACTTGAGAATACTTCAGGGAAGGAGACAAGATGCAGATGTGATAGTGTATTTCAGTAAATTTTGCAGAATATCCCATGCAGGTGAGTATCAGTTCTACAATACTTGACAGAGCCACTGCAAACCCAAATATAATTTTGGACAGGAAAACATAACTCAATAGCCTTCAGACACTATGCTGGACTGCAATTTCCCTGAGCTTTTCAACCCTATGATTAGCAGAATGGAGGAAAAATCTGGTGATTAATTCTACCTACATCCCAGCAATTAATCTTATCTTTTACTCACAGTAATAAGCCTTTAGGAATTGGCTCCAGGCCTAATATATTCTGATGGATTTCTATTGTTATAGATATTTTTCTAAAAGGAATACCTACATTAAAATTTCCCAAACCAGTTAACAGCATTGCTTGGGGGAAAGCTTGTAGGCAAACAGTTCCTGTTGTGAAAAATCTATTTGAGGGGAATTATCTGTCACAGTGTGTCAAATACCATGCTTCCCAGTGTGAATCCAATATTATGCACAATTATACGTTTCATAGAAAATAGTGAGATTGACTTCTGAATAAACATGCCTAGGTTCAGACTATACAGGAGCCCAGAAAAATAGCCTGTCTATCCATCTCAAAAAATAAGCACAATTGTTGGCCATAACCTTTTAGCTGACAATTGAGCACAATATTCCTTAGAGCTGGCTCTCATTCTGTATCCCTCTCATTCTTTATTCCTCTAAGTGTGACAAGCACCAGAAAATATTAAGGTTAGGTAACAATCTTTACAGCATGTATCTTTTTTACCTTTCAAAAACATACTATAACTCCCTTATAAACAGAGTAGTTCATTATCAGTACATGATGTGTTCTTCCTGCAAAAGGTTTTGCATCTTTTAATCAAAATATCCTTAGACTAAGTCTTGCACAGGAAATGTTTACTAGTGACCTACTAATGTTGCTCAAGACTGCATTACAAAAGAGCAGTGTGATGCCTATTTTAGCTGTGGCTGTGACCAACTAGGAATCATGTGACTATATTCTTGGCTTTCATTTGCTTTCCCTCTAAGTCTGTGTCAGCTTTAAGAAAATTAGCACCAATTTTCTAAACCAACAAGATTCCATTCTGCTAACAAGGTGTGTCTATTCTGCACTCTTATGGTTTATATTGTCATTTAGTCTGTGTTATAAACCACACAATGTGCTCAAGTTAGAGAATAAAAATGTAAAAAATAAAAATAAAGCATCAAGTGCTAGTAAGTGATACAGCATCAGTCAGTAGAGTGGAAAGTTAAACTTGCCAGCCTTCCACAATGTCCAAATGTTATTAACTTGGAGTTGGAGTCTGCTTTGGACAGATTTTGCCTGTGGAAAGTCCTTCCATGCAGTTTTGGGTTAGTTTTCCCTGGGTCTCCTGACTGTCTTTGTAGCATTTTCAGAAGGCTCAAGGGACTTCTGTCAGAAGGAGGGCAGGAAAGTTTATTGCCATCAGTGCAAGTGATCCAGAATAAATGTGGATCCAGTCCTTGGACTACAAATCCCAGTTTTCTGATCTATGACCATGCTGACAGGGACTGATGAAAGCTGGTGAAACAGATTAGGAAAAGCTGGATTAAGCCTTCACAACTAGTGAGCCTGTATGTGTGATCATCACAAGCCCACTAAGGCTTGAACACCCTGAATCCAGCCTCTGTTTAAGCTCCAGTCGGTTGTGGTGTACACTTGTCACCATTTTTAACATGCAAGTGGACAGGTACCGTGGCTTGCCATGTGAACCCAACTGTCATAGGATATGTGAGGGTCAAACATAACCCTAGAACAACCCATGGTACACAGAGAAGCTATGGAGGGCCACTGTGATTGTGCATACCTTTTCATAGTAAAGAAGTGCTCAGTACTTCATAAAAGAATCCACACGTGTTCCCATCACCTTACAGAAACCCTACAGTACTATGCAATCTACCATTTAACACAGGTAAATGTGCCTGCTGCCAGGAAGACTTATTTTTCCCCAACCTTGGATGGCTGCTACTCAGCAAAAGTTTGGTTTTATTATTATAGTACAGATGAAGACATATTTGACTTTATTTGAGCATTATTCTAATTTGCTTGATCAAACAACTATTTAATAGAAGCAATTTAAAGATCAGCTTAAATCAGCAGATTTATAAAATTATAAAATCCCAATGTGAACTTGAACAGCACACCTAAAATGAATGTCTCAAGTTACATTTTTCACATGTCAAACTTGGTTTAAACTGTGGCTATATCAATTCCAGCAACAACAGGAAGGATAACAGAAAGAGATGCTAGTTTGTGAAGCACTGCTGGACCGTGGTAGTTTTTCCAACTTATGTTCTGGGCAGGCAGTATTTATACTCATGAAAAGACAATGATGAGGTCCATCAGACCAACACCCAATCTGCAAGATCAGCTCCCATTCTGAAGTAGCATTTACCCTTCGTGGCAGATGCCATTTGTGCATTTTTTGTTTGACACATACAAAGATTGTGTCTCATCACCTCACAGAAAATTTTTTCTACATGGTGTTGGGCTTTCCCACTGGTATTGCAGAAATTATGACACTACCTGAAGTTTCCCAGTTGCATTTATTAGTTGCAGTCACCCAACTTTGACTAGACTTCCCATAAGAAAAATGACATATTATGGCACTGATTATGCTTTGATTATGGCAGAGCTCTCCATAGCCCCAAACATCTCCTGAAAGAAGCCATTTGACTGTCAGCTCTACAGCCTTCTGCACAGTATATCCTGAAATGCTACACAAGGAGGGCCAATGGTGTAGATAGCATCAGTACAACTTCCTTAACGTTTTTCTTGCAGGCTAGCTACATCATACGTACTACTGATTAAAGTGACTAACCTAGAGAAAAATACTCAAGAAGCAATTTATCAGGAGCTCAGGCTCCATTCTCTTCCCACATGACAATTTTCGTTCATCAATGTGTACTTGTGCATGGCACAGGACAGAGACATGGATTAGGCAGGCACCTAAAGGCAGGGCTTGAGAGTGTGTCTGTCACAATTATAACTGCGTGATAGAAGACCACGACTGTATACTCGTTCGTAAGGAAATAGACACCTCCTTTCCAAGTGAAACCGAAGCAGCTCTACGCTTGAGCGCATCCCCTAGTGGCGTCTTTCTCATTAACTCCTCCGCCCTCATGGAGATCAACAGCGCAAGAGGTCACACGGCCAAGGAAAGAGGGGGGCTGCCTGCGTAACATTCACACGGGCTATTAACTAAAGGGTGCGCGTCACAATCACGTACCCATATGGGGAGAGGGGCTTGCGCTGGGTGCCGTGGAAAGGGAGCTTCGGCGCTGCTTTCCGCACAGAACGTGGGGAGACTTTCTCTCAAGAGGGGGCAGCCCGAGGCTCACTATACCATTCACTTCCCAGCGCTCGCCGACGCTAAGCTCAGCACGAGCGCCGAGAGCGGCGACAGTGGGCAACGCGGAGAGCCCCCCTCCCTCACGGCCACCCCAGCCCAGCCCCGCTTTGCCTCGCCTCGCATTACCTCTCCCCGTTGGGCGTGATCACCCCGCCGCCCCCCGAGTGGTTCTTGTTCACCGCCATCTTCCCGGCCAATGGCACCAACAGGGGCGGGGCTTCCCTCTCGGCCCCTGGCAAATACCGCGGCGCCGCCCCGTAGCGGCCGTGACCTCACTGCGCGCAGGCCCGCCGATCAGTAGACTGGCGGGGGGGGGGGGGCGGTGTTTTCTCTTCCTGGCTTTCCTGGCCTTTCGTGGCTGGCCCTTTAGCCCTGGGTGGGTCATCACCTTGCTAGGTTTATTTTGTGAGTTGCCGCATCATTTTAAAGGCAGAGTAGAAGTGTATAATTGTTCTGACTGTTCCTACCGGTATGTTGGCTGCGAAAAGTACTAGGAGTGAAGGCGTCCCTCGTCGCAAAGCATTTTACTTTCCATCTCCTCTTCCCCTTCACAGTGCTTAAAACCTATCAGCCGCGCTGGATCAAAGGATTATTTAGTTCAGCATTCGGTTCCCGCAGTGGCAAACCAGATAGCCAAGGGAAAGCTCGCTATTAGGACATGAGGGCAGTAGTGACCTGCTCAACTCCCATTATTAGTATATTACATTTATACCCTACTTTTCTTCCTCTTTCAAGGCACCCGAAGTCCCTTTCTCCACTCTATTTGATCCTCACAGAAAGTACCCTGTGAGGTAGGTTAGGCTGTCAGTCTGTGAGGGCCCAAAATAACCCACGTGTTTCATGGTCTGGTGAAGACTAGAACCCAGGTCTCCCAATCTCCTGCCCAAGCCTCTAATCAACTTGCCACATTAAGGATATTTCGAGGCATATACTGAGCTGGAGGTGGCAAATAAGTGGCCATTATGATTAGTAGCCACTGACAGCCTTCTTCTCTTTTAAGGTGTCTGATCACTTTTTCATACAAGCTGGTAGCATCACTACATCTTGTAGAAGAAAATTCCATAGTGTAACTATATGCTATGTAAAGAATTACTTTTTCTAATCCATCCTGAATCTTCCATCATTCAAAGTTCTAGTACTATAAGAGAGAGAAATCAATTTTCACCTATTGTGCCTAATTTTACATACCTCTTATGTTCCCCTTTGCTTTCCTTTCTCCCTAAGTCACGAATCTCCAAAGGCCACCTTTTCTAATAGGCAAGATGCTGCAGCCGCTCAATCATTTGGGTCGTCCTTTCCTACACCTTGAGATGGTTGATGGCTTGTCTTCCCAATTATATTTTCTTAGCCTCTGTGAGATGAGGGTTACTGGACTAGCTGAACTGTTAGTTTGAACCAACAGAACTGTTCTTATGTAGAAGATATTTAAAAATAATTTTAAAAACTAAACCTTGAAAATTAGGATGTTGAAAGTCAATTGGGAGGGGTAACTGAAAACAATAATTTTACAGTAAAGATCACACATGCAGCCACTTTGGAAAATGCATCATATGGACATCTATGACTATTAAATCATATAAGTATCAATAACACCATGGAATAGATAACCAATTCTTAAAAATTATATCCCATTTGGAGGAACAAATAAAAGAAATTTATCTAAGTTGAATCTGTCCCATTTTAGCCCTATGGCAAACATGCTGTTTATATCAGTTAAAATCCTGGTCCTCACTGGTGAAGACCCAGTACTGCAGAGGTTGGCAACCTTTCTTGGGTCCATAGGTACGCGTGGCAATTAACTATACTGGGCACCATGACAAAATGCAAATTCCACAGAAGAAAACAGTGGCCTGCAACCACCTGCTCTCTTCCTTTCCAAAGAATGTGTCTGAGCTTACATATACAGTATTCATGGGAAAAGAAAATGGGAACAACTAGAGGCCCTCACTTTGCTTTCAAGTGACTCCTACTAGTAAGTATTTCTGTTATTTAAAAAATTATAAAACTAGGAGGGGTATTTTCTTAAATCCAGATAATAACTCTAACATATCATAATGCCAGAAAAACTCCTTTTTAAAATCTGGTTTGTGACACTGCACTGGAATGTTAGCTATTTAGCATTCTGTCCAAAGCCCTTCTTTACCGGCAGAACAAGGGTTGAGTTTCAGAATACTACCAGGCCTTTACTCTTATTCTCTGAGTTGGTGAAGTGCAGTATTACAGTAGGTGATGTAATTATGTTGAAAATATTACCACATTTGCACAATAACCGGGGGGGGGGGGGGGGGAACAGCATGGTGGCCTCATTTCCCAGGTGATTGGGCAAACCCAGCTTCTGTGCTGTGTGTACAACTCTGACCCACATGAGAAAGAAATATGTATTTTGTGCAAATAAACTAACTAACCACTTGTTCAAATGACAATTTCTTTAATCAGACAACAGAACACAGAAAGTTAAGTCTAGCAACAGTTACATCATTGTCATTTTTCTCAATCAAGGGCTGGACAGATTACAAAAGGGCTTCATTAAGATACTTTCATAGGCTAGAGGTACCAAGAGGATCTAGGCATCATTCATGCATGTATTAGTTTCTCTGCCAGAAAAGAGAATCTAATTGTAATCTACAGTTTTCCATGAACTTGCTTCCAAGAGGAACTATCTTTCCAAAATGCTTTAGGGTGCAATCCCGTGTAAGTTTAGACAGAAAACACACAACTCCCAGCTTGCCCAGCTAGCATAGGGCTTTTTTTCTGGGTAAAGTTCTATAGCATTGCAGCCTTAAGTACATCTCAGTATGCACAATGATAATATGCAATTTTCAGAGAATATTATAATATTCGATTGATCCCTTCTCTGTATCTGTATATCTATTGTGGTCTGGTGTTATGATACAAATCTATCTGTAGCATCAAAGACAAAGCAAACAAACAAAAAGAGGGAAGTTAATATATTACTATGGGGCATTTCCTTTATTACAGTTATCAGCATCAAGAGAGTTCTACTTAGGTAGTTTAGGAATCAAGTGTTATTAGAACTGGGCATACTGGAATGGTGACAATTTCACAATAATGCATAGTATTAGCATACTATTTCCTTTGTGTTTATTTGCATTAATGCCAGATGCTCTCACTGTTGATTGAAAAGGGCTAAGATCTACACTGGCAAAAAGTGCATATAGGTTTTTGCTCCAACCTATTATGGATACCACCTACTAGATTATATAAATTTTAGCTATTTTTACTAGAGAATTTTGTCCAAAATAAATGGACCCACTCAGTTTAGCACAGAAATGGGATTCGAAATCTAATCTATGCTGAAAATAAATGGATAAACAAGCATATTTTACTGTTTAGAGTGATGCACACAGAAATCACTCAACAAAATGGCACCCATCAAAACTCCTCTGATTTGAGATCCACACACCAGACTAGACTTCCTCCATTAAAGAGAATAACCTACATTTCTCAATCACACCCCTAGATAGTAAAAGAAAAAACATACTCCTATAATTGAGTAAGTAGAGTGAAATAAAATATTGCCTCTTTGTACAACTAGTCTGGAGTAGACCACACCTTCACTGGACTGAAGGGATTACTTCATGTTTTTCTGTGTTTGTTGTCAATGGATGATGCTATCCAATAAATTCATTGTATTGTTATTAGTTTAATCCCTCTACTTGAAAGGAAAAAATCTTAAATGGCTTAGCATTACTGGCTTCTGCAGTCTTGGATATACCAAACATCTTACAGAATTAAAATAAGCAAGGCACAAGGCACAGCTGCCATGGAGGCTGACCTGTTTCAAGGCTGAGATTACTCTGTGTGACACCATTCACCATTTGGCAGTTTCCATCATATTGCAGATTGCTCCAAAAAACCTCTGTGGTGACCATGGTGAAAACTGGTGATCCACATGGTAAGTTACCAGACATATGAATGGTTTGCCACGTGGTGGCAGCCAATTAGACATATCCACAAATGAGACATTTTACTAGTTACATTGTGATACTTTTGGCCTCCATAGATGCTTCACTTGAGGAGGTGCTTTTCAATTGCCTCTCGATTTTGCTTTAAGCAAAATCCAGTAATAGCCTAGGCCAGATCTGTGCAGTCTTCTTTGGAAATGTTATCAGTCTTTCAGAAAAACCTTTTTATCAATTCATCAAGCAATAACCTTGTTACTTGCTGGGAAACATAGGCAGGAGGGTGCTGTCACATTCATGCCCAGCTTGTGTTAACAGAATGCTGGTCTAGATGGGACCCTTGGTGTGATCCAATATGCTGCTTATTATGTTCTTAAACCTTCATTCCTCTGTATTACTTTATATCTTGGGTGTGGGGGAAGGGATATCCTCTCTGGGCTTTTATGTATTTGTTGATTAGATTATTTATAAACTGCATTTAAGGGCACAATTGCCCTTCTGAAGCAGTGTATAAAGACCATTATAATATACAAAAAATCATCAAATTAAAACTAGTTTACAACTCTTTAAAGCAGTAGCAAGCACAATTGTCCTCCTTTTAGATATTCATCAAGCTTCTTTGACAGACTTTAAGAAATTATTAAAAACTCAATTTTTCTTTTGCATTTCCTTTGTGGTGTTCAGATGTCTTCGATGCACTTTGTCCATATACTTATATGTTAATTACTCTACTGTTACTTAACTCTTTTAATCTTACATAGTTAGTATGAAGTTCTCCAATTTGCTTCCAAGTCCCGTTCCCTTTCATCTCAGACATCTTAGATGGCAAGGCCTGTAAACAGGTACCATCTTAGATGGTAGGACTTGTTCATGTTATTTTTGTACAGGGCCAATTATATTTTAGTTGCTTTAATTATAATGATATTAGGCTTCTCCCCTCAACACTGATCTGGTTCAGAGGTCATGAGCAATTTCTGTTATTTTTAACCAAGGAACTGGCAGGAGTACACAGAAGTAAGTGTACTGTTTCCTACACTCTCACCACTTCTGCTTTCAACTAACAACCCAGGAATGCCCCCATTCTTGGATTGTTTATGACATGCAAATCTTGAAATGCTTGCTTGTTTAGTGGTTAAATAGCCCAGATCAACCCAACATAAACCTTCAGTTCAAATGTCACAATAATAATTTCTAGGTTGGTAATTGAAAGCAAAAGTAGCCAAGCGGGTGGGAACCAGCCTACTTGCTTGCTCTGCTGCTGTCACAAATGCCCCATGGTTAACAAGC